CAACAACTAGGAAGCAGGTGAGAACGTGGAGGTTATACATGGTAGTATTCAAGCATAATCTTTTACTGAGTAACACACCTCCATAATTTTTCTACCTTTCCCCACTTCCTTTGGGAAAAATTTGTCCTTTTTAATCTCAGTCAAAGGCAGGACTGAAACATCTTGTATTTCCTATACAGACTTTTGTGCTGTGTGTCTATCTTGTTCTTGTTCTGATGACATGTTCTAGATGGGGCAATTGCATGATGGTGGAAGCTCCACCACGGACCCCTGACTGGCAGAATTGCAGAGCATGGCAAACTTCACACATGAACCGATGGGAGACCCTGTAGGGTGACTGAGAAGCCAATGTTTGGTGAATTAAAGCACAAAGATTTTGGTATTGTTTGTAACCCACAGAAATGTAAAGTAATCATGGCTTAGAAACTCCTTTTGAATCACTTACATCTACGAGGCAGGAACTGAAAATCATGCAGGCATAATCACTGAGCTATACTGAAGTAAGTTTTTCATAACAATGAATAAACTTGTGATGCTTTTCAAGTGCAATCATAATCACCTACATTTTGTACAAATTACATTCTGAGAGCTGGCATTTTTTATCACCTTTTTATCATATAATACTATCATCGAGTATCCTTCCTCATGCAGCTCTGCACCAAACAACAGTAAGTTTTATGAAGGCAGGAAGGGAACTTTTCTGTGTTGTTCCTTTTTGTCCCAGATCTATTACAAGGTGCTGCACATAGGGAATGATATTAGAATAGAAAAACAAGCAGTTATACAACTCTAATATTTTAATTGCATTGAACATGCTGACGATAATCAGAGTTCTGTTCCACTATTGCCCTTGCAATCAACGTAATTGCTGTGGTGCATGTAAATTCTGGTATGAACACTGATACCAACTCCTTTGAAAAATGTTAAATAACAATTTTTCCTGTCTTCTCTGTTTTGTTTTTAAAGTTTACTCAGATACTTATCTCAATGCCTGTTGTTTATTTGTTCTGTATGAGCACAATCAAACCACATTACTTCCTGTGGCCTGTGGTTTTTTTCAGACTGAAACAGTTAAAATTCATGGGCCCAAAGTGGGAGATCTCTCATTTAGATTCCTTCCCAGCAGGAGGTATAGGAAATGGAGGGGGACACAAAGCCCTAAGGAGGACTTTTTATTCCCTGATACCCGAGTGCATAGTAAGCTGGAATATGGATCACAGCAATGTGGTGAGCTCCAGAGACAGACTTTGGGTGGTAGGAGAAGGAGCAAGCTTCATTCAGGTTTCCGACCAAAAGCCCATGTTTCTTTGTATTGACAAACTCTGATTTCTTCACTGATTTCTCCCACTTTAAACCTGATGTCTCAGAGGTGGTTCCTGGGACATCAGCCAGTGCCATCCTCTTACCCTCCTACCCTCCCACCCTCTCATCCCTCTTGGGCCTCTGATTCCCTCCCACATTTTCCAGATGAATTTTTTGTTATCTCTTCTCAGACAAGCTCAAAAACATCAGGTCCTCTATGTAAGTGTAATTTTCAAATTATAGATTGATCCAAGGTTTTACAGTCCCAAACTGCCCTATCTCAACTTACTCAGAAATGCATAAGGGGTACTGGGTGTTTGAGTTTGGGAAGTAAGGGAGTTCTTGAGGGCTAAATAGAAGGAATCCTGATTAAAAAGTCAGCTTTTACACCCTGTACTGCCAAGCATCTCTTTCTTCACATTCCAGAAGCTCTTGCCCTCATAAAAACTTCTCACATGAAGTCTGGAGGGAAACTTTAGGTGTCTGGGGCCCAGGATGTGAGGTCAAATCAGAGATTCAAAAGGAGTAAAAGGATGAATATAGGATTTGTAGGAGGCATGAGAAAGGAGGAAGTATTAGGAACTCATCTCTTTTGGTCCTCGTAATAAACTCACCTATCCTGCCCCTGTTCACACCCCATAAATACACACACACCTGGAGCCCTGCACTCCCCTCCAATTGTCAGCAAGATTTATAGAGCAAAAAAAGACTATCCAAAGTCACATCTACTGTACATCTCTGCCTTCACCACTACATACCATATCATCCCTCTTCTCCTTTCTGACCTGTGATAATGAAAAAAGGGACAACCACTTTGAAAAACATCTGGCAATTTGTTATAACATAAAATATGCATTAATTCTAAAAACCAGTAAGTCGATTTACAGTATTCACTCAAAAGGAATGATTGGTCTGGATTTTTAGAGGAGTGGACAGGGAGATCTCACCAAGGCCTGCCTGAGGAACCACTACAGAAAAAATTCTGGAAGAAAAGAGGGGAGAACTGGCTTTTCTTCATTCCTGAGGACTGTCAGAGTCCATCAGCTCACTGGGAAGAAAGAGGCAAACCAGGAGAAACCAAAGTTTGGCTTAGGACATTGTTGAGAAATCCCACAAAGTACTCTGGACTCTTCCCATATTACCATGAATAATGATTGAGTAAAGCCAGGCAAACAGAAGGAGATTTCCAATGAAATAGAATTACTGCAGAAACAGGGGAGGATATTAACTTTCCAATAATATATTCAGTTAAAGAGGCTATTATAATTATAAATAAGACTGGGAAGCTATGAAGGTGGTAAGAAAAAACTCATAATGCTAAAATATTTATTTTACAATCAGATAAAATTCTTTTAGAAATCTGTAATTATTTAAGCAATTTATTCTATTAATTAAAACCAAGCAAAGGCAATAATTTTGAAATCAAACTAATATGTGTTTTTTAAATAATTTATTTCAAAGTCACAGGTAAAGGGAATCAGGAAAATAACAGACATCATTCTAAATCACTGCTCATCTGTTAGGAAATAGTAGCAATTATTAAAAATATTCTGTTATTTAATTTTCACCATAACTCATTAAGCAATTTCATTACTTTTTTTTTTATAAATGAGAAAGTATATCTCATAAAATTTAGTTTATTTGATAAGGACCAGTATGTGGCAACATCAGAATTATAATAAAAGTCCACCTGTGATACAGAAAGAGAAATACTGCATTTATGTGCAGGCTCTGCAACAGTTACACTAGGAAGTAGAGATCAGAATTGTGGTTGTCAGGAGCTAGGAGCTGGAGGAAATGGGGAGACACACACACACACATACACACCACACAATGGTAACCATGTAGAGGTGATGCATGTTTATTAGCCTAATTGTGGTGATCATTTCACAACATATACATGTATTCAACCATTAAGTTGTACACCTTAAATATTTACAGTTTTTATATGTCAGTGATATCCCAAAGCTGTTAAAAAACTGAAAACAGGTCTGCCTATGAGGGGTGTGTGTGTGTGTGTGTGTATCTAAAGCAGAACTGGAATAGTCTTGACAGTGGTGACAAGGATCTGAAAAATGGGGGAAATTGAGGAAAGTATACAAAGCATGTCTCTTTGTTATTTCTTACAAATGTATGTGAAGTTACAGTCATCTTTTATTTTTTAAAAATGTTGACAATTTTGGGAATTCTTCTTTAGGGTACAAGTTTTACTTTGGTTTTGCATCCTTGGCTGAACTTTGCTTCCAGGTGGCAGACAGGGCCCAGGCAGAAGCATGAGTATTCAGAAACCTGTTGGTTTTTCCAAAGGACTGGGCAAGGGGCTCAAGAGAGACAAGTGAAGAGAGGAGAGGTTGCAGAACTGTGCAGGGGCCCCATCATCAAGCCTCCTTTACATAGTTAAAGGGAGCACTAGGAATTTTTCCATAGGATTACAAACATACTATATATTTACAAGTACAAGAAGCAAATGGACCGGCTTTCCTAGATTCCTCTGGCTTTAAAATAATGAAGTCTCCTCATTTCCTTTTCTCTCCTGAAGCAGGGCAGACAGAGAGATTATCTGCTGTCCCTGACTACAGAAGTGACCCAGATGCTGGGCTATCGAAAGAAGCATTGCCTCATATACTTTGGGCACCTATAATTTCATAGTTTTGTACACTTTCATTATTATGATCCTATCACATTTTCTGCTACTTCTAGAAGACATTTTTATATTCCTCAAATTATTCATTGTAACGATGGGGTGACAGGAAGGCAGAGGTCAAAGGGAAAATTTAGAAGATCAATTTCCTCCAGTTTCTAGGGATGAGTGCTGAGATATAGGTGTATGTGTGTGTGTGTGTGTGCACCTGCACACACATAGATTCCAGAAATATTCACCTTGGAATCCTTTGCGTCATCAAAGGTCATCCAAAGATGAGGCAGATGGGGTTCTGGGGATAAGCAGGAATGAGAGCAGATGCTGTTTAACCAGACAGCCCATTTTTTTTTTCTCCTAGCTCTGAACATAGTTAAAGAAGAGTTGGGAATACAGGGCGCCTGGGTGGCTCAGTTGTTAGGTGTCTGCCTTCGGCTCGGGTCATGATCCCAGGGTCTTGGGATCAGGCCCCGCGTCGGGCTCCCTGCTCAGAAGGAAGCCTGCTTCTCCCTCTCCCACTCCCCCTGTTTGTGTTCCCTCTCTCGCTCTCTCTCTCTCTCTCTCTGTCAAATAAATAAATAAATAAATCTTAAAAAAAAAAAAAAGTTGGGAATAAAAATGCTAAAAGACACAGGGATCCCACCAAGCCCCAAATGAACATCCATTGCAGAGATAACTCCCCTCCAATCTCACCGAAGGAGGAGAGCAGGATTTCCCTCTTCCTTCCTGAGAAGTTTCAAGTTGTTGCAAAAGGAAAGCTGATCAGACAAGCAAAACACTTACCTACACCATTGTCAAGAAATCCACTATTGTACTTCTCTTACTGTATCACTGTGAATAATAACTTTTTAAAGCTGGGCAAACAGCCCAAATCGAAATTCAATTTCAGTGAAATAGAATTACTGCAGAAAAATGAAAAAAAAAAAAAAAAGACTAGGCAGCTATACAAAAACATTTATTAGCTAAGATTAAAATAAAATTGTAAAAAAAAAGAAAAGAAATAAAATTGTAATTCTTTAATCAAGTTATTTTATTTCTTAACACAAAACAAGTGTACTAATGTTGAAAGCAAGCTAATATGTATTCTTAAAATCATTTATTTTAGTCCAAATGAGAGGGGGCCAAAAAATAAATAGACACCTACTAGATCCCTTCTTACGTGCTAGAAAACATTTTGTTGGTTAATTTTCACAATTCTATATCAGGTACCTTTCTTTTTTTTTTTTTTACAAATGAGAAAACTGAATCCCATAGAATTTCATGAGACACTGACACAGCTTATATTTTCTAGGAGCAAATATTTATTAATAAATCAAGATACTCAGGGGCACATGGGTGGCTTAGTAGGTTAAGCATCTGCCTTCAGCTCAGGTCATGATCTCAGAGTCCTGGGATGGAGTCCCATGTCCGGCTCCCTGCTCAGTGGGAGTCTGCTTCTCTCTCTCCCTCTGTCCATCCTCCTGCTCTCTCGTTATTTCTAAATTTAAAAAAATAAATCAAAACACTTAGATGTTTATACTTAATGGCATTTATTTTCTTACAGTGATCCTAAGCATGGTGCAGTTTTTACAGCAAGATGATTTTAAGAAAATAAACACATCATTTATGTACATTATTCAAGGTTACACTGCATTGTGTGGAGAGACAGGACAGGAACCCAAACACTCTGGACACAAAACTATCACTCTTAGTTATTATTTTTGATGTTTTTTTCTGAATGAAGAGTGTTCAAATGGAGAGAAGGAAGGCAGCAAGGAAAAGATGATGAGAATGGTGCAGATAAGCTCAGTGCATCAGCTGCACCCAAGGCAAGAGGCACTACAAAGAAATGAGTATGGATGTAAGAAGGTTCAAGAGCTTGGTGAGCACAGAGTATGGGGTCATTACACTCCATAGGGTTGAAATACAGAAAAGCTTCCTGAGAAAAGGAACATGAAGAGAATTTGTAGATGAGAAACCCGTGGTTTGTGACATTGAAAAATGAGACAGTGCCAGCCTCATAGTATAGGAAAACTCCAACACAGTGGGGAGGGACAAGCAGGGCCAGGATTAAGATGAAGGGATCAGAGAAGGATGACTCCTCAAAAGCATTATATTCAAGTTGATCTGGCACCTTTTAATGCAGTAGTCATATTTGGTTGAAACCTAGAGTAAACATGTTGGTAATTTCAATTATGTCTAACATGAAAGTTCACATTGGGTTCTGGGCATTTTCCATTATATACCTCCAGAATCTACCTCCAAGTAATGTTTCCCCAATCCAATAATGAGGGATCCCAGAACACCATAATTGCTATTATATGCATTATTTGGTTTCCAACAGCACACACACCTCATTTGTCTTCGATCTGTAGAAATAGGCAGCATATGTTGTATTTTGGAGATGATATGGAGTCATGTGAGGTGCAGAAAAATTGGGGCTGGGTGAGAGACATGACTTAGCTTTGTTTGTGACACTGTCACAGTTATCTTGGGAATAACGTGAGTGGGAACTAGGAAGAATTCTGTCTGTTCTTGGGAGAGGTATAACACTGCAGAAGCAGAATATGTATGTATGTGTTGGAAGGGAAAACAAGGGTGTTGGAACATGAGACCTACTAGGAATGAAAAATTCTGAAAGGTGATGAGAACAAGGTGGCTTGATGACACTGATTTCTCCTCACCTCAGTAGCACTACATGTGTCAGCTCTCAAATAATAAAAGACCATAATCAACACAAAGGAGACAGCCCTGAAATCTCTTTCCCCTGAAGATTAGGGGAAGGACTGGGGACTATGGAGAGGTAGTGAACTGGTTAAGGAGAGTGTGCCCCAGACACCTGGCCACGTCCCATTAAATATGACCATATCATCAGCATGTGATGTCCTTTGTCTTCTCTCTCCATACCTAGAAGTTGTGCCCTTTTCCCCATTTAGCCCCTGCCATCACAAGACTCCCACAGCCAACCACTTGCTCCAGCACTCCTCACCTCTAAACGCTTCTATTATCACTTTCAGATCAGGAATTCGGGACACTTTCCTTTGTTCCTTGAGAAACATGTTTTGTTTCTTCAGACTCAAGTGCTTACTCCTAAGGATGACAAAAATTAAACCCCACACTTCTGAATTTTTGTCCTTCCAAAATGACTGACTTCCTATTCATCCTATTGAAGAGCTTGAGCCCTCCTCCACAGAGACCCTGAGAAAGAGGAGAGCAGACTCCTGACCTTGGAGCCAGAAGAAATGTGTTCATGTTTACCTTCCCAGTTACCTTCTGTGTGACCTTGAGAAAGTCTTGACCTCTCAGAGACACAGTTTCTTCCTTCCAAAATTAAATCATCAACCTCTCCCTCTCTATCTCCTAGAAGTTATATGAAATAATGGATATAACAAAACAAAATTTTGGTAACTTGAAAAAAAATGTGTGGAAAAGCCACTGCATGGTGCAGGTTCCCAGGCCAGATGTTCAGAAAGTGAAGTTGCAGAACCTGGCTCCTGGATGTTTGGAACATATCAAGTGTGGGAATATTGTCTGGGGAGGACCAAGATCTTTAAACTCTGCTCCCCAGTTGGGAAGCCCTCAGAATAACATCTGAGCTTTTAGGTTCTCTGGTAAAATTTGCAAACACTTAGAACAGAAGACACGAACACCAAAGTAATGATGGCCTGAATTTCGTGTGTTAGGAAAAAGCTTGATGCTGTGAGGTAGGTGTGCAAATTTATACACAAGGATGTTACCTTTCCATTCTGGCTTCTAAAATGTGTGACGGAGATGGATCACTTGTGTGTATACTAGGGCCAAAATATTCCATGAGATTCAAGGTTGTCTTTGGAAATCTAAACAGAGCCATATAGAAGGTCTCTTCTATTCCCAGGGCAGAAGTTTAAATATAAGGGAACTGTCTCCAACTCCAGGTGCTTGGCTATGAACTTCCCATAGCCAAGCTCCTATGAAATATAAGTACCTGAGTTAGTTACGGGCATGCAAGGTGAATAAAATTTATGAAGTCACAGGGGTCTGCCACCCCTTATCCACAGTACTGCTACTGACCCAAACTGTGTGACTTCCCACCACCCACCTTCCCTCCCACAGAACCTGGTCCATTGTCAATAGTTACAGAACACTCAAACCACAATTTGTGAATAGAAATTTAACATATAACTATACCCAAACTGTCCTGCCTTGAGAGATGTTTTATTCTAATTGATTACCATAGAACTCTAATGACTTTAAACCTCTTTTCACTGCACAAAAGGACCATCTCTGATCCCCCACACATACCTTTCCATGATGTGATTCACATCCTAGGGAAAAAAGGGAAGACGTGAGTCAAGAGGTAATAGACCCTTCTCATTTACAAAGCTTCATCACATCCCCACCAACCCCATGGTAGGAGTAAAGATGGTCTCAATGTGAGAGCAAATAAGTAAAAATAAGATCCAGGCTAATCATTCCAGAAGATATGTGAGGTTGTCAGATGTCCTAAAAGGTAGAAACAGCTTTGAGCCTTGTAGAATTATAGCATGAAGCTTCTAGTATCTGGAAATGAGACATATTTATGAGGACAACAAGAGTCCCATAATTGTTTCCTAAATGCATGAGAAAGTTTGAATAATGCAATGGTTCTTTCATTTATTCAACAGAAACATAAAGTGATATGCCATTATTTGCCAAACCTCAGGACAGGCTTTGGAGAATCAAAGATGAGTAAATAACCATAATATCCCTCAAGAAGTTTACACGGCTTTGCAGAGGACACAAGCAAATATATTAAGTTAGGTGTTTTTCAAATCTCTCCTCATTTTATACACTACCTATAATTGACCTTATCCACTCTCTTAAATTCAACACACACATATAGGCACTTGATTTCCAACTCTTTGTTTTTACTCAGTTTTGTCTCTTAGATGCACATTAACATATTCAGTAGTAAAGAAGCCACAGGAACTAGTGGGTTAAGATGTTTAATATGTAACTTACCATTCACCAACCAAATCGTCTCCTCTCTTATACTCCATTGTTCATATTGTTACAAATATTCACTCAGCCACTGTCCTAAAACTACAATTTTTACCTGCACTTCAGGTTCTACTGAGCAATTTAATCCACATTCTTTTTTTTTTGTTATTGTTTTTATTTTTTTAAGTTTTTATTTAAAATTCCAGTTAGTTAACATACAGTGTAATATTAGTTCAGTTTAGTCCATATTCTTAACAGTTTTTAGCCATCTGATTTTCTTTATCATCACAGATATTGTTTTGGTTGTTTGAACAAATATCTACCAATATATTTGGTTTCCTTTACCTCAGCCTTCTTTCATGTCACCAAAAATTAGGCCAACAGGTGGGTCAACAAGGGCCAAAAAAAAGAAAGGTTTTGCTCTCTGTATTAGGACTTTTATGTTGTATATGACAAAAAGCAAAACCAAGTAGAGAAAAGGATTTGGGGGAGCAGTTATAACTTTAATCAAAGCTGAATTTTGAAGCTCAAACCCTATCATCAGGATCTGGTCTATGTCTTCCAAATTCTATTTATTCCCTCTATATTGAATTTACTCTCAGTTCATGAAGGAAACATGAATCTCCTGATATAAACTCCAGAAGAAAAGAGAACTTCTCTTCCCAGTTAAAAACAACACCAACAACACCACCAACAAAACACAACCAGAAAACAAAAACCAAAAAATTCTTATGTCTGCGTGTCATTGCTCTGCATTGGATCAGGTGCCCATATTAAAGCATCCCTGTGTTGGAGCTGGAAGGAAATGAAGCAGTGTTGGAGGCAAGTTTCTATATCTTACTGGAATTAACTTAGTATTAATCTGAAGTAGGCCATGATAGGGTAAGATGCATACTCTAATCACTAGAACAACCACTAGGGGGAAAAAGATTAAAAAACAAACAACAACAACAACAAAAGAAACCCACAGAAATAGGAAAACTTAACATTTTATGCTAGAAATATTTCTTTAACTCAAACAAATCTAGTTAAGGAGAAAGGACAATGAAAACTACAGGCGACATATGGAAAAAAACCCAGTAATATGATAAATGTAAATACAGCTACATCAACATTAGCATAAAATGTTACTGTCTTTAACACCTCCATTAAAAGGCAATGATCATTGGACTGGATAAAAAGCAAGATTCAACTATTGCTATCAACAAGAGACATATTTTGGATACAAAGACACAAATATGGCAAAAGTAAAAAGATAGAAAAATATATACCATGCAAGCAGTAATCATAAAATAGCTCGTGTCTATATTAATATTAGACAAAATAGACTTTCAGACCATAAATATTATGAGAGAAGGAGAGAGAAATTTCAGAATGATAAAAAGTTCAGTACATCAAGAAGGGATATAACAATTACAAATGTAAATGTACAAGAGCAGAGTTTCAAAATACACAAACCAAAATTGAAAGGATTAAAAAGAAAAATAGACAATTCAGTAGTTGTAGATTTCGACAGCTCACTCTAAATAATTGATAGAATAGCATGTCACCAAAAATACAGAAGACATGGATGATACTATTAACCAATTTGACCTAACAGATATCTATAGACTATTTCATCTAATAAATGCAGAATACACATTCTTCTCAAATTCACACAGAAAAATTTTCTGGACATACAATATTTTAGTCCATAAAACAGGTATCAATACATTTAAATAGTGAAATAATAAAATATGATTACAAGAAATTATATTTGAAAACCACAGCAAAAAAAAAGTAAGAAATCAAGTATTGTTAAATTAAACTGCATACTTTCTAGGTATTTACCCAAAGAATACACAAATATAATTCAAAGAGATACAAGCACCCCAGTATTTCCAGCAGCATTATCTACAATGGCCAAATTATGGAAACAGCACAAGTGTCCATCAACTGATTACTGATAAATAAAACATGGTGTATATATATTATAATATATAATAATTTATTTATGTCTTTATATATATAAAGAATATGTCATATATATGTGTATGGGGTGTAGATAGATGATAGATAGATAGATAGATAGATGATAGATAGATGATAGATAGATAGATAGATAGATAGATACTATGGAATATTACTCAGCCATAAAAAAGAATGAAATCTTGCCATTTGCAACAACACGGTTTGAGCTATAAGGTATTACACCAAGTGAAATAAGTCAGTCAGAGAAAGACAAATACCATATGATTTCACTCATATGTAGAATTTAAGCAATACAACAAATGAGCAAAGGGAAAAGAGAGAGAGCGAGACAAACCAAGAAAAAGACACTGAACTATAGAGAACAAACTGATAGTTATCAGAGGGGAAGTGGGTGGGGGGGGGATACGTGAAACAGGTGATGGGGGTTAAGGAGGGCACTTGTGATGAGCACCAGGTGATGTATGGAAGTGCTGAATCACTATATTGTACACCTGACACTGATATTACACTGTAGGTTAACTGGAATTTAAATAAAAACTTAAATAAATAAATAAATAAATAAATAAATAAATAAATAAATAAATAGCACACTTTCAAATATCCCAAGGGTTAACCAAAAAATTCACAAAAGAAATTAGAAAATAAGTAGAACTAATGAAAACAACAACTAAAGAATCAAAATATGTGGAATAATATGTTGGCTAATTGAACATAATAATTAAATAAATAAATATAATAAATATATGGAATATACCTAAATTATTGCATTTATATCATTAAATACTATATCAGAAATGATGGTCTCAAATAAGTAATCAAAGTTTCACTTTAAGAAACTAGGAAAAGGGGCGCCTTGGTGGCTCAGTCGTTAAGCATCTGCCTTCGGCTCAGGTCATGATCCCAGAGTGTTGGGATCGAGTCCCACATTGGGCTCCCTGCTTGGCGGGAAGCCTGCTTCTCCCTCTTCCATTCCCCCTGCTTGTGTTCCTGCTCTCACTATCTCTTTCTCTGTCAAATAAATAAATAAAATATTTTTTAAAAATTTAAAAAAAGAAACTAGAAAAAGAATGGCAAACTAAACTCAATACACACACTCATGTTCATGTGTGCATACATGTTAGTGTTCATGTATGTACACACATTCGTGTTCATGCATGCACACACACTCATGTTCATGCGTGCATATACACATACACACACAAAGGAAACAATAAAAAGGAGACGAGACACAAATGACACAGAAATGTTAAAAAAAGCGGGGCGCCTGGGTGGCTCAGCTTGTTAAGTGGCAGCCTTGGCTCAGGTGGTGATCTCAGGGTTCTGGGATTGAGCCGCTGTTGGTCTCCCTGCTCAGTGGGGAGTCTGTTTCTCCCTCTCCCTCTGCCCCTCACCCCTGCTCATGCTCTCTCTCTCTCCCTCTCGAATAAATAAAATCTTTAAGAAAAAAAATGGTTAAAAAAGTAAATGAAATAATAAAGTTTGTTCTTGAAGAAAATCAATAAAATTGACCAAAGACAACTAAACTGTCCAAGACAAAAAAAGAGAAAAAGCACACCACCAAAATCAGGAATAAAAGAGGAGACATTACTGTGTGTGCTATAGAAACCAGAGGGATTATAAGGGATTATTATGACTACCTTTATGTCTACAAATCAGGCAACTTTAAAGTGGACAAATCCCTACAATGACATTTATTATCAAAATATGACTTAAGAATGGTAAAAAATATAAGCAAACCTAGTACATATTTTTAAATATTATTTTAAGCCTTTTGAAAAAGAAAAGCCCAGAATGAGATGGCTTCACTGGTGAATTCTATCGAATATTTAAAGAATAAATAATACTAGTCCTTCACAATTTGTTTTTTGTTTATTTGTTTTTCAGGAAATAAAGAAAGAGGGAGAAAAATCTTAGTTTATTCTATGAGGGGGAAAAAAAGTCTTAGAATGTGACGTTCATTTGTCTGTGACCAAGCTGAATCATGAAGAGGTACCTGAGAAGTCCTTGGCACTAGATCACTGATCACAGAGCCCTCTAGACTATCACTCGATACAGTACAAATTCTGCCACCATCAGATTTCTGCACTGCACTTGATAAATAAATATGAAATTGTCCCTTGTTATTTATTCCTATAATCTCTGACACACATACAAGAAAGGGGATACTGCAAGGCCAAAGGAACCTTAGTGTCACCACCAGGAAGAGCAAAGCAACATGGGAGAGAAGGAAACTCGGTCTTCATTTTTGTCAAATCTCAGATGCTGGGGCTTCTTCCTGAGTTACCTGCAGCATGTCTACTGTCGACCCCTGCAGCCGATGCTCTAGTTCCGAGACCAGGTCTCTCACCAGCTGGCTCTGCTGGACCAGCTCATCCTCCGTTGCAGCCAGGGTGTCAAGAATAGCTTTCTCCTCGCTCTCCAGTTTCTGCACCACCCTCAACTCCTCATTCTCCAGGATAGTCTTGAGTTTTTTAAACTGTGCTTGGACACCCCTTTTTTCATTTTGCATGTGATTCTTCAGAAATGAGAAAGAGAGGTACTCAGGCTATTGGCAGAGACTGGGAGTCAGAAAGAGAACTATTTTCTTTGGAAAGTTCTCACTGGGAAATGACAGAAGAGCAAGGGAGCAATTCTTGGGGAAACGAACTTTTCCTATTATTTTTTGTCCATCACATTCCAAAACGATGATCTCAAGTCTGCATTATTGAGGCCAACCTTGAGCCCAAATAGGATCCTTGGGTTTGGCTCTATTTTCACGCAGCTGTCCAGGACAACCAAGACTCCTTGCTTTACTGCTGACCCCCATCCTCTCACCCTTGGCTGAAAGTTGAACAATGAAGACAAAACCATGAGTCATTGCTAAGTGTCTTCCCCAAGGAGGGTCAAAGACTCAAAATCACAACAGGAATGTAACACAGAATTCACTAGCCATCTTCTATGTGAATACCTCCCCCTAAACATCTGTGTTCATTTATAACATGTTCACTTTTCAGCCCCCACTTTATCAGGGAAAGGATAAAGAAGAGGACTAACCAAAATACTTTTGGACATATCAACTATCAGGGAACAAAAAGGAAGGGAGCTCCTTGTCACTAACACCCAAGGTCCTGTCTATACTTTTGTCTAACTCTCTCAGGAAGTATCTCCTCCTACCTTCCAGGAAGTTCTCTCTTCTCTGAGGGTAGCTTCCAACATGTTCGCTTCCTGCTGCTCCTCCCTCAGCTTCTGCAGAGCTGTCTGGAGCTTCTCCTATGAGAGAGGAGTCACACCAGAGTAAAACTGTCAGATTTCCCAGCATCAGCATAGAAGATAAATGGGGAAAATATCAGGCCAATCTCCAAAGGGACTAGAGTTTACAGAATCAGTGAGAATAGCAATTAGAATCTATGACTTGGAAGAAAACTCGACGTGGTGAACATGTTCTTTAAGGCCCAGTGATGAGCAACAACTAATGAATTGTTGAACACTACATCAAAAACTAATGATGTATTATATGTTGGCTAACTAAACATAATAATAAAAAAATCTTTTCAGCATCTACAGAAATAATCACTTTTTAAATATATAAATGTATCAATTATATTAACAAAATTACATTCTATTCAGAAAACTATATTAAGAGATTTCCCAGTACTTAATTATACTTGCATTTAAAAAATAAACCAAAAATTAATCAAGAAAAAAAAGACCCAGGTGATAGACATCACCATCCCTTCATCAAAAAGAGGACTGATTCTCTTTGTACTATTAGAACAAACCAAACCCTGCAGCAAGGAAAGAACTTACATCTCCATCTACCCTCCTGTTCAGCAGGGTGATGAGGACCTCTCTTGAGCACTAAATCTCCACCCATCTAGCACAAGGCATAAAAGTATCTACTTCTGACTAAATCTGTACTATAGGTTTATCCTTTCATAATTTAATGGAATGCACAAAAATGTCCTTCAGGCAAAATTTTTTTTTTTAAATGTTCTTCAGGCCTTGAAAGGTGAGAATAGAAAGAAAAGACATCACAGGCCTCAGGCCTATGATGACAAGGTAATTAAAGTTGAGTGCATACACCACACACAAAAATAGACTCAAAATGGATGAAAGAACTAAATGTGAGACAGGAGTCCATCAAAATCCTAGAGGAGAACACAGGCAGCAACCTCTTTGACCTCAGCCGCAGAAACTTTTTCCTAGAAACATCGCCAAAGGCAAGGGAAGCAAGGGCAAAAATGAACTATTGGGACTTCATCAAGATAAAAAGCTTTTGCACAGCAAAGGAAACAGTCCACAAAACCAAAAGACAACTGACAGAATGGGAGAAGATATTTGCAAATGACATATCAGATAAAGGGCTAGTATCCAAAATCTATAGAGAACTTATCAAACTCAACACCCAAAGAACAAATGATCCAATCAAGAAATGGGCAGAAGACATGAACAGACATTTTTCCAAAGAAGACATCCAAATGGCCAACAGACACATGAAAAAGTGCTCAACATCGCTCGGCATCAGGGAAATCCAAATCAAAACCACATCGAGATACCACCTCACACCAGTCAGAATGGCTAAAAGTAATAAGTCAGGAAACAACAGATGTTGGCGGGGATGCGGAGAAAGGGGAACCCTCCTACACTGTTGGTGGGAATGCAAGCTGGTGCAGCCACTCTGGAAAACAGTATGGAGGTTCCTCAAAAAGTTGAAAATAGAGCTACCATACGATCCAGCAATTGCACTACTGGATATTTACCCCAAAGATACAAAAGTAGGGATCCGAAGGGGTACGTGCACCCCGATGTTTATAGCAGCAATGTCCACAATAGCCAAACTATGGAAAGAGCCAAGATGTCCATCGACAGATGAATGGATAAAGAGGTGGTATATATATACAATGGAATATTATGCAGCCATCAAAAGAAATGAAATCTTGCCATTTGCAAGGACGTGGATGGAACTGGAGGGTATTATGCTGAGCGAAATAAGTCAGAGAAAGACGTATCATATGACCTCACTGATATGAGGAATTCTTAATCTCAGGAAACACACTGAGGGTTGCTGGAGTGGTGGGGGTGGGAGGGGTGGGGTGGCTGGGTGATAGACATTGGGGAGGGTATGTGCTATGGTGAGTGCTGTGAATTGTGTAAGACTGCTGAATCATAGACCTGTACTTCTGAAACAAATAATACATTACAGGGGGCGCCTGGGTGGCTCAGTCTTTAAGTATCTGCCTTCGGCACAGGTCATGATCCCAGAGTCCCGGGATAGAGCCCCACATTGGGCTCCCTGCTCAGCGGGAAGCCTGCTTCTCCCTCCCCCACTCCCCCTGCTCATGTTCCCTCTCTCACTGTCTCTCTCTCTGTCAAATAAATTAAAAAAAAAAAACTTAAAAAAAAAGGTGTTGAGTGAATAAATAAATGAGCTAAGAGCCAACCTTTATGTCAAATGCCAGGCATTCACTAGTGCCTGGTATGTACTTATTGGGATGCCTGGGTGGCTCAGTTGGTTACACATCTGCCTTTGGCTCGAGTCATGGTCCCAGGGTCCTGGGATCAACTTCTGCACCAGGCTCCTTGCTCAGTGGTGAGCCTGCTTCTCCCTCTGCCTGCTGCTTCCCCTGCTTGTGCTCTCTCTCTCTGACAAATAAATAAACAAAATCTTTTTAAACAAATAATATATTACATGCTAAAAAAAAAAGAAGATAGTAGGAAGGGAAAAATGAAGGGGGTAAATCAGAGGGGGAGACGAACCATGAGAGACTATGGACTCTGAGAAACAAACTGAGGGTTCTAGAGGGGAGGGGGGTGGGGGGATGGGTTAGCCGGGTGATGGGTATTGAAGAGGGCATGTACTGCATGGAGCACTGGGTGTTATATGCAAACAATGAATCATGGAACACTACATCAAAAACTAATGATGTATGGTGATTAACATAACATAATAAAATTAAATAAAAAATTGAGTGCAAAGTGGTGATTTCTCAACAAGTTCTATTTTCTGCCCTGTGTTCCCTCCATCCTGGTCTCTTACCTGGTACTCCTGGACAGCCTCCTCCATGAGGACTGTTTGGTGACCACGGTGCTCCTGAGACCGCTCGCAAACCCAGCAAATGACCCTCTTATCCTTCTTACAGAAGAGCAAAAGCTTTTCTTCATGGCGCTCACAGAGATTTCTCTTCTGCTCCTCTTCAGAGCTCACCTTGACCTCTTGGAGCCTCTCCACTATTTTGGCCACATGCCAGTTAGGCCGCAGTTCCCCATAGCAGAAAGCCATTTGGCACACAGGGCAATTGCTGCTCTTCCCTCCTTGGCTTGTCACAGACTCCTTGTTCTCTGCAGCGATGCAGGCTTTGCAGAAGCTGTGGCCACAGTCCAGGCTCAGGGGTTCCTTCAGGAGGTCCAGGCAGATGGGGCAGGTCACCTCCTCCTCTATGTTTGTAAGGAGTTTAAAAGCCATAACAGCTGCTCTTTTGCTCCTATCTGTCCTGACCTCAGTGGTTCCTCTTGTTCACCGATCCCTGTATGATTGGCAAGGTTAAAAGGGGGCAGAGTTGGAAAGAGTAAAATTATAATAATTGTGTAGAAATCAAGGACAAGCCCAAATCATAATATTGAAGGGCAAGAAAGAAAAGGTGGAGAAGGTAGGAGTAGGGGACCCCGTTTCAACAGGTCCCTTGAATTTAGCTGGATATCTATGAAGCCATTCTGAACACCCACAAAAATCAGCCTGACATGTTAAGAATATGTATCGGGATCTCTACAAGCAGAAAAGCACTGCCTATCTCAAGGTAGGAAGGGCAGTCATGAATCTGTGGGGTGATATCCGAAGATAAACAGAAGGGGGCAGGAGCCACCATAAGCTGGCTCCTGCAAAGTGCTGTTAACACCAGAGTGCCAAAGTGTCCTGTGTTGGGGACCCAGCAAAAACCCGCAGAACAGTAGCAGCTGCGAAAGGGCTTTAGAGCAGCGCTCAGACATGACCCAGGAGGTGAGGGTGTGGACGCAGCCCAGGGCCGCTTGAGATTTTAGAAGCACAAAGGGCAGGGACAAGCCCAGGCCCCTGGGATGACCTCTGAGAGAGTCACTGTGGGTGTGCACCCTGGGAGGCTGAGGTTTTCAGCATCGCATACAGAAACAGAGACTGTGTCCTGGCAGGTTTAGTGAAGAGAGCAGACTGCAATTTCTCTGCTCTGGGCCAGAGGTTTGGGTGCGGCCATTTGTGCTCTGACCCTCTGAAGAGGTGCAGAAAGCCGCCAGAGAACAAAAGCTCAAAAAACCGGTTTCCAATGAGCCCATCCCCCTGACAGGGGGCAAGGCAACTCCACCCAAGCAGGGTCGCCTGAGAAACAGCATGGCAGGCCCCTCCCCTGGAAGACAGGCTGGAAGAACAAAAGGGCGACAACCCACGGACCCCATAAGACTGTACAATCTCAACACCAGGGGAAAATAGTATATTGAGCTCCAGGCATTGCCTCATGGCTTGTTTATTTTTCACATACAATGCTCTTTTTCTTGTTATTCTTTCTCTTATGTTTCTTCTGTTTTTTCTTTTTACCTTTTTTCTCATTTCAACTAGATGTTTAATATACCAATTTATATTTCATAGTAGCTTTTTAACTTGTACTTTTTTACACCTATGTTTTTTATAGATACATTCTTCATTGTAGTCCTTTTTTCCCTATTCAATATTACCTTTTTACATATACAAGTTTTACTTTCCCTGTAATTTTGGGAAGTAGTGTCTTCTAACAAACAGACCAAAATACACCAAGAACAACTGAAACACCCTACTTTGTCCACACTGAGAGATTATAGCCCCCCTTTCCCTTACCCCAATTTTTTAAATTTTTATTTATTTTTATTTTTTAATTTTATAAATTTTATTCTTGCATTTCATTTTGACTTTGTTTTTTTGGTGGTGGCTTCCGACTGCTCTGAATTTTCCTACGGCACATCTTGCTTGGTCGTGGTTGATATTTTGGACTCTGTACATGCCCTCAACCATCCCTCAACAGAATAACTAGGAGGAGGAACTCCCAGCAAAGAAAAGAACCAGAGACAATGTCCTCTGCTACATTATCTAATGGAAATAAAGATAGACTTCAGGGTAGCAATCATGAAGTCAATAGCTAAGCTTGAAAAAAGCATTAGTGACAATATAGAATCTCTAAGTGCAGAAATGAGATCTAATCAGGCCGAACTTAAAAATGCTATGAATGAGATGCAGTTTAACTCATTTTCTAACAACCAGGGTAAATGAGGCAGAAGAACGAGTTAGTGATCTAGAAGATAAGCTGATAGGAAGGAAGCTGAGGAGGATAGGGATAGGCAGCTGGAAGCCCATGAGAACAGACTTAGAGAGATCAATAATGCCATGAAACGTCCCAATGTCAGAATTATTGGGATCCCTGAGGCGGTGAAGAGAGAGAGAGAACTAGAAGGTATATCTGAGCAAATCATAGTTGAGAACTTTCCTAATCTGGGGAAGGAAACAAGCATTTGTGTCCAAGAGGCAGAGAGGACCCCTCCCAAGATCAATGAGAAAAGACCGACACCCTGACATATAAGAGTACAATTCACAAATCTTAGATCCAAGGAAACAATCTTGAAACTGGCTAGGGGGAAGAGATTCCTTACATACAGAGGGAGGAACATCAGAATAACGTCAGACCTATCCACAGAGACCTGGCAAGCCAGAAAGGCCTGGCAAGACATACTCAGGGTACTAAATGAGAAGAACATGAAGCCAAGAATACTTTATCTAGCAAGGCTGTCATTTAGAATGGATGGAGAGATGCAGAGCTTCCAAGACCAGCAGAAACTGAAAGAATATGTGACCACCAAGCCGGCCCTGCAAGAAATATTAAGGGGGGGTTCTATAAAAGAAGAAAGACCCCAAGTGTAATAGACCAGAAATTTACAGAGACAATCTATAGAAACAAGGACTTCACAGGCAACGTTATAGCAATAAAACCGTATTTTTCAATAATCACTCTCAATGTGAATGACCTAAATGCTCCCATGAAAGGCACAGGGTTGCAGTTTGGATAAAAAAACATGACCCATCCATATGCTGTCTACAAGAGACTCATTTTGAATCTAAAGGTACAACCAGACTGAAAGTGAGGGGATGGGGAACCATTTTTCATGCCAACGGACCTCATAAGAAAGCTGTGGTAGCAATTCTTGTATCAGACATATTAGATTTTAAGGTAGACACTGTAGTAAGAGATACAGAAGGACACTATATCATTCTTAAAGGGTCTACTAAACAAGAAGATCTAACAATTGTAAATATCTATGCCCCCAACATGGGAGCAGCCAACTACATAAACCAACTATTAACCAAAATAAAGAAACCTATTGATAATAATACTTTAATAGTAGGAGACCTCAACACGTCACTCTCAGCAATAGACAGATCGCCTAAGCAGAAGATCAATAAAGAAACACAAGCTTTGAATGACACACTGGACCAGATGGACTTCATAGATATATACAGAATATTCCACCCTAAAAGAACAGAATACTCATTCTTCTTGAACACACATGGAACTTTCTCCAGAAAAGACCACATACTGGGTCGCAAATCAGGTCTCACTGATACCAAAAGATTGAAATTATCCCCTGCATGTTATCAGACCACAGTGCTTTGAAACTAGAACTCAATCACAAGAAAAAACTTGGAAAGAATTCAAACACTTGGAAGCTAAAGAGCATCCTGCTAAAGAATGATTAGGTCAACCAGGAAATTAAAGAAGAACTTAAACAATTCATGGAAACCAATGAGAATGAAAACACATCGGTCCAAAACCTATGGGATACTGCAAAGGCAGTCCTAAGGGGGAAATACATAGCCATCCAAGCCTCTCTCATAAAATTAGAAAAATCCCAAATGCACAAGTTAATCTTACACTTAAAGGAAATGGAGAAAGAACAGCAAATAAAACCTAAACCAAGCAGGAGAAGAGAAATAATAAAGATTAGAGCAGAGACAAATGAAATAGAAACCAGAAAAACAGTAGAACAGATCAATGAAACTAGAAGCTGGTTCTTTGAAATAATTAACAAGATCAATAAACCTCTGACCAGACTTATCCAAAAGAAAAGAGAAAGGACCCAAATTAGTAAAATCATGAATGAAAGGGGAGGAATCACGACTAACACCAAGGAAATAAAAACAATTATTAGAAATAATTACCAGCAATTATAGGCCAACAAATTAAGCAACCTGGAAGAAATGGATGCCTTCCCGGAAACCTATAAACTACCAAGACTAAAGCAGGAAAAAATTGACAATCTGAATTGACCAATAACCAGTAACAAAATTGAAGCAGTGATCTAAAACCTCCCAAAAAACAAGAGTCCAGGGCCAGATGGATTCCCAGGGGAGTTCTACCAAACATTTAAAGAAGAAATCATACCTATTCTACTAAAGCTGTTTCAAAAAATAGAAACAGAAAGAAAGCTTCCAGACTCATTCTATGAGGCCAGCATTATCCTGATCCCAAAACCAGACAAAGATCACATCAAAAAGGAGAATTATAAACCAATATCCCTGATAAACATGGATGCCAAAATACTCAACAAGATCTTAGCCATAAGATCCAACAGTACATTAAAAGAATTATTCACCATGACCAAGTGAGATTCATTCCTGGGATGCAAGGGTGGTTCAACATTTGCAAATCAATCAACATGATAGAGCACATTAATAAAAGAAAAGATAAGAACCATGTGATCCTCTCAATTGATGCAGAAAAAGCATTTGATAAAATACAGCACCCTTTCCTGCTTCAAAGTGTAGGGATAGAGGGAACATTCCTCAATATCATAAAAATCATCTATGAAAAACCCACAGCGAATATCATTATCAATGGGGAAAATCTGAGAGCTTTTTCCTTAAGGTCAGGAACTTGACAGGGATGCCCACTTTCACCACTATTTTTCAACATAGTACTAGAAGTCCTCGCCTCAGCAATCAGACAACAAAAAGAAATAAAAGGCATTCAAATCGGCAAAGAAGAAGTCAAACTCTCTCTTCGCAGATGACATGGTACTTTATGTGGAAAATCCAAAAGAATTCCCCCCCCAAATTACTAGAACTCATCATACAGCAATTCAGAAATGTGGCAAGATACAAAATCAATGCACAGAATACAGTTGCTTTTCTATACACTAACAGTGTAACTGTAGAAAGAGAAATGAAGGAATTTATTGCATTTACAATAGCACCAAAAACCCTAAGATACTTCGGAATAAACCTAACCAAAGAGGTAAAGGATCTATACTCTAGGAACTACAGAATACTTATGAAAGAAACTGAAGAAGACACAAAGAGATGGAAAGACAATCCCTGCTCATGGATCGGAAGAATAAACATTGTGAAAATGTCTATGCTGCCCATAGCAATCTATACTTTCAATGCCATCCCGATCAAAATACCAATATCATTTTTCAAAGAGCTGGAACAAACAATCCTGATATTTGTATGGAACCAGAAAAGACCCCGAATTGCCAAGGAAAAGTTGAAAAAGAAAAACAAAGCTGGGAGCATCACACTGCCTGACTTCAAGCTATATTACAAAGCTGTGATCACCAAGACAGACAGCATGGTACTGGCACAAAAACAGACATATAGACCAATGGAACAGAATAGAGACTCTAGAAATGGACCCTCAATTCTATGGTCAACTAATTTTTGACAAATCAGGAAAAAATATCCAGTGGAAAAAGACAGTCTCTTCAATAAATGGTGCTGGGAAAATTGGACAGCTACATACAGAAGAATGAAACTCGACCATTCTCTTACACCATACACAGAGATAAACTCAAAATGGATGAATGACCTCAATGCGAGACAGGAATCCATCAAAATCCTAGAAGAGAACATAGGCAGTGATCTCTTTGACTTTGGCCACAGCAACTTCTTTCAAGACACATCCCCAAAGGCAAGGGAAACAAAAGCAAACATGAACTTTTGGGACTTCATCAAGAGAAAAAGCTTCTGCACAGCAAAGGAAACAGTCAACAAAACAAAGAGGCAACCCACAGAATGGGAGAAGATATTTGCAAATGACAGTACAGATAAAGGGGTGGTATCCAAGATCTATAAAGAACTTTTCAAACTCAACACTCAAAAACAAATAATCAAGTCAAAAAATGGGCAGAAGACATGAACAGACACTTCTCCAAAGACATACAAATGGCTAACAGACACATGAAAAAATGTTCATCATTATTAGCCATCAGGGAAATTCAAATCAAAATCACATTGAGATACCACCTTACACCAGTTAGAATGGCAAAAATTGACAGGGCAAGAAACAACAAATGTTGGAGAGGTTGTGGAGAAAGGGGAAACCCTCTTACACTGTTGGTGGGAATGCAAGCTGATACAGCCACTCTGGAAAACAGTATGGAGGTTCCTCAAGATGTTAAAAATAGAGCTACCCTATGACCCAGCAATTGCACTACTAGATATTTACCCCAAAGATACAGATGTAGTGAAAAGAAGGGCCATATGCACCCCAATGTTCATAGCAGCAATGTCCACAATAGCCAAACTGTGGAAGGAGCTGAGATGCCCTTCAACAGATGAATGGATAAAGAAGATGTGCTCCATATATACAATGGAATATTACTCAGCCATCAGAAAGGATGAATACCCACCATTTGCACTGACATGGATGGAACTGGAGGAGACTATGCTAAGTGAAATAAATCAAGCAGAAAAAGACAATTATCATATGGTTTCACTCACAAGTAGAACATAAGAAATAGCATGGAGGACCATAGGGGAAGGGACGGAAAACTGAAGGGGGAGAAATCAGAGAGGGAGATGAACCATGAGAGACTCTGGACTCTGGGAAACAAACTGAGGGTTACAGAAGGGAGGGGGTTGGGGGAATGGGGTAACTGGGTGATGGGTATTAAGGAGGGCAGGTGTTGTGATGAGCACTAATGCAACTAATGAAACATTGAACACTGTATCAGAAACTGAGGTACTATACAGTGGCTAACTGAACATAATAAAAAAAGTTAAATTAAAAAAAAAAAAGTTAGAAAAGATACCACATTTGGAAAGTGCTCCCCTTGCTCCTGATCTCTCAGGTGGCCTCTGTTTCTGGGTGGCAGATACGGCCGGGGGAGAGGGATGAGTAAGGTAAGTGATTGGGGCTTGCAGCTGTCACCCCATTAAGCTCCTAAGCACAAGACAGACCAAGTTGATGAGAATTTACATAGAGTCATGCAGAAATGCTACATTGTTACGGGATGGGCATTAAAATGTTAGGATTCAAAGATCCCTCTGCCTTTGCTCTTGCTGTGGAGAGAAGGAAATTTCTACCTCTGAAAAATAGAGGATTCTGGCTTGTCCTCAGCAAGGTGCAATTCAAAATTATAGAGTGGGAAGGAGAATCTCCAGGGTAGATTCAGCCTGTAGAAATAATGGTCCCTGCATGAAAGAACAAAGCCTTTCAAGCCTTCAAACCTCCCTTCTTTGGGGACTGCCCCTCCCCCAACCTCCCCGGCCCATATCCCTGCCCCACTCACTCTCAGCCGGAAGCTTGCAAGCTGGGCGTTACCCCCCTCCACCCTTCACAGCAGCTGCCTGAACACACGTTCAGCTCCCTCCAAAATTCAGGTCTTCTCCCCACCTCTGCCCTCTGCAAACCACTCCACACACCTTCAGACACCAGGTGAGAAGTCGTGCCTCCTTGGAGAAGAGTGGAGGCAGGCCAGGGAGGGAATGTGGTCAGGATTCTCTCAGCAAACCAGGGGCCGATCTCCACCAAGATCCGGAGGTGCTAAGTGAAAATGAAAGTTAAAATCTCTGGTTTGGGCAGGAAGGGAGGAGAGAGGCTGCAGACCAATGGGAGATCCCTAAGAGGTGACAAGGCTTTGTGCGGGGGGCCGGATGAGCCAGTGGTTGCACTCATTCCTTTCCGGTCCACTCCTAGATGCTGCTCTCCTGTCCTTTCAAGGTAATCAGTCCTTTGGGGCACTAGGCTTACCTGAGCAATATAATTTCACACAAGTGCGCCTAGCCTTTTTTCCCTACAAATGAGCTGTCGTGTGGAAGGAATAAAATTCCTCCTTTACCACAAGGAGGAACCCACACTGAAGGCTGCCCTGAAGCAGCCTTAGGAACACGGTCTCTACTGTTCTGAATCCATTTGCTAGACTAAGTGAATCTGGCAGGGGTGTATCCTATTAGGTGTGTGAGCGGGAAGGGCTATGCAAATCTGCAAGTCCCTCAGTGGGACAGTCAGTGGCTCTCACGGAGTGGCAGCACAGTGAGCCTGACCTTCAGAATTTGGATTCAGTATGGCCAAAATGACACTTCTGCTAAAGATGCTGGGAAGATGAAACTGTGGATGGTGTCATTTGTTGGGCAATGCTATCTAACATTATTTAACATACAATCCCTATAATCTTAGCATAATAAAAATGAAGCAGGAAAATCATTGTGAAGATTAATTTTGTGTTATCAACTTGACTGGCCACGAGTTGCCCCCATTAAACATTTCTGGGTCTGGGAGGTGGTTGTTTCTAGATGAGATTAGCATTTGAGTCTGTGGACTCAGTAGATTGCACTCCCCAGTGTTGTCGGGCATCATCTGATTTGTTGAGGGCCTAAGAGAAAAGAGGAATTCATCCCTTTTGTTTCCTGTTTGCCTGCTTGAGCTGGGATATAGGTCCTCTCCTGTCCTTGGACTGGAATTTACACCGTCACCCACCCTGGCTCTGCAGCCTTTGGTCTTGGACTGAATGACACCACCAGCTTTCCTGGGTCTGCACTTTGCAGGTACCAGATCCTGGAACTTCTCAGCCCCCATAATCATGTGAGCCAGTTGTTTATAATAAACCCCTTCGTGTAGGTTCTGTTTCTCTGGAGAACCCCAACAATTCTAAAGTTCTGTGTCAAGTGGCACAGGTGAATTGTGGTAATGACAGTGACAGTGAGACAGGTGAAATGTGCGGTGTCTAAGGATACATGCCAAACAGTGACGCAGTAGAGGTAAGGGCACAAGGAGGATATTGTAGAGGTGATAGTGTTTAAGAAGTCAACCATAATCCCATAAGACCTAGTCACATAGGAGGGAGTCATGGTTTAAAAAAAAGAGCTTTGAGTGGGATCTGCCATCTGAGTGGGTCAATCTGGGGTGCGGCTGTCTTTCACAGGAAAAGAGGTAGTTAAACAAAGAAGTTCCCCTACGTTAGCCCCTATTCTTATAGGTCTTAGGATCTTGTTATCACGCCACTTCTTCTGATGTCTCTTCATACTATTAACAACAAGCATGCATCTCATTTTGTTGCTGTTGTTGCTTAAACCCTGAGATCAAGACCTGAGCTGAAATCAAGAGTAGGATGCTCAACCTACTGAGCCACCCAGGTGCCCTGCATTTTGTTCTATTAAAAGTTGTCAAGATGCCCCTTATGGAAATTCCTCCTACATGCTCTTCTAGCTGTCTCCCAGGTGAGCTCAGTTTCTGGGTGGCAGAAATGGCCCAAGAAGAAGGATGGGCAAGGTTAGTTTTTCTGTTGTTTGTTTGTGAACTGCAGTAGATCCCGGAGTTTGAACTTGCAAATCTTGTAAGACTAGAAAACACCAAAGAAACTGCAAAGCAGAGCAACCATCACCCCATTAAGGCTCTCAAACCTAGGGAGGACAGGGCGCTAGGAATTTCTATGGAGCGTCATGCAGAAATCCAACATTATTATACTGAAACATTAAATTGTTAAGCTTCAAAGAACTTTCTGACTTTCCCTTATTGTCTTCCTCAAAGTATCTTTTTCATCCCTGAGCAGAGCCAGGCCTAGTGCTCTTCTCTGCTGCTTTCAGTGCGGAATTGGTCCAGAAGCCTGGGCTGTGGCCCATGGACACTTCATAGGCTCTTTGTCTAGGGCTTTCTTTGCTAGAATTTTTCTGGAAGTCGTTTCTAAAACTAGGGGTTACTCCTAGAGGTGAGGACTCGGTCACTATTCCTTGAATTGGAAAATGAAAATGCATGAGTGGAAGGCAAGAGAGAGAAGTGCAGTGGGAAACCTAGTGTTATTACTGATCTTATCAGTGGTAATCACCCCACCTCACACTGCACCTCCAATTGTAAGTTTCATGAAGTCAGGGAGGGACTTTCTCTACTCTGTTGCTTATTGCCTTAAATCTATTAGAAGTTATTGCATATAAGGTCTGATAGATAGATATGCAGATATGTAACTATAAAAATATTTTTAATTGAATGGAACATCTTGATGATAAATCATACTTCCAGTTTACCATTCTTGCTGTGAACACAGTTGCTGTCACATCGTATAATTCAGTTATTCTTGGGATCCCTGGGTGGCTCAGTTGGTTAAGCATCTGCCTTTGGCTCAGGTCATGATCCCAGGGTCCTGGGATCGAGTCCCGCATCGGGCTCCCTGCTCAGCGGGGAGCCTGCTTTTCCCTCTCCCACTCCCCCTGCCTGTGCTTGCTCTCTTTCTTTCCCTGTAAAGTAAATAAATAAAATCTTTAAAAAAAATTCAGTTATTCTTCTGGTATCAATAACATACATATGATTCCCCTTTGATAATTTTTTATTGAAGTGCAATTAACATACATTATATTTGTTTAGGTGTACAACATTTGTATACATTGTGAAACATTCACCACCGTAAATCAAGTTACTATCTATCACCATAGGAAGTCATGAAAAAAATGTTTTTCCTGTGATGAGAACATTCAAGATTTACTTTTGTAGGAATTTCAAATTTGCAGCACAATACTATTTGCTATAGTCACCATGCTATACATTATACCCCCATGACTTATTTTATAACTGGAAGGCCTTACTTCTTGATCCCCTTCACCCATTTTGCCCACTCCCAGACCCTGGCCTTTAGCAACCACCAATCTGATCTCTGTATCAATGAGTTTTGTGTTGTTTGCTTGTTTTGTTTTTCAGATTACACATATGATGAAATCATTATGTTATTTGTCTTTCTCTGACTTATTTCACTTAGCATAATACCCTCAAGGTTCATCTGTGTTGTTGAATGGCAAGATTTTCACTCTTTTAATGTCTGAGTAGTATTCCACTCTATTATTCCATTGATGGACTCTTGGGTTGTTTCCACTTTTTGACAAATACTAATCAACCTTTTTATCTCCTGTTTTCTTCCTAAGGTTTACTTGGATTGGTGTTTAATCTGTCTCCACCAACACACTTCAACTGCGTTAACTCTTGCTTTACCCTAAGGTTTTCTCAAATGGGAAAGTGTTAAAAATCCATGGGTCAAAGGGGGGGGATATTTCATTATATTCCTCTCCAAGTAGGAGATGTAATGACTGGAGGGAAAATACAGAGCCCTAAGAAAGATTTATTTTTCCCTGTAACTCAGAATATACTGAGCTGGAATATGGAACATACCAACATATTCAGCTCTGGTGAAAAAAATGTGTATGGTGAGAGAAGTGTAAATCCAAGTATTCTGCTTGCTCAAGTTTTCAGGTATCTTGACGAGACCTGATTTTCTCACTGATTTCTCCCAGCTCTCATAAGAGAGTCCCGAGATACTAACCAAGGATGTGGGGTCAATTAAGCAATTCAGAGGAAGAGGAGTAAAACAATGGATCTAATATCCAGTAGATGGGATTGGGAAAGGAAGAAGTACCAGACAGAGAAGAGGTCTTTGGCTAAGGAAGCTCTTTCCTTCTGAACACTGCAGTCAATACCACTATGCTGTGCTCATCACGCAGTCAGACTCAGCTCTCCAATCCTCTTCAGTTTCAACCAAATATACCGAAAAATACACCTATTCTTAATATCTTGGCATTGACCACCCAACCCTATACCATCATTGTTCCCTTTCTGAATTTGTGGGAATGCAAAATGGCATAATCACTTTGAATAAAATCTGGTGGTTTGTATAACAAAAAAGGAAAAACAAACCACTAAAATTCAGCGATTGAACTTATAGCTTAGACTATCCAGAGCAAGAAAAACTAAAGTTCTGTTTCTATAAACGGAGGTATATATTCTAACAAAGCAGCATCCATAACCTATATATCAACACTATAAACCTTGAACAATTATAAAAACAAAGCAAAACAAACAAAAAGATGAAGGCACTAGAGACTGACAAAACACTTAGAACCTAGAGTGTAATAGACAATTGGAAGAAGGTAATACTATTGGAGGAGTTTTCTGGTTTTATGGCTTTTTATTTGAAAGCAAAACTCAACTGGTAGTGAGTGGGATAGTTAAAACTCAGCGGCATACAGACTTACTAGCTTGAAGAGCAAGAAGAATGATTTGGAGCTATCACAACAGCTGAAAAATGGTAGGAGAATGTCTGTAAAAGAGAGATCCAGAGGAGGAAATCTCAAATTGTACATACACACTGAGCAACTCTCTGAAATACACATGTTTGAGGCAGATACCAAGCAGCCCAAATAGAGCTAAAAGAACTGACCAGAGATTTCAGCTTCTGCAAAATTCAGGGGACAATTTCAAATTTGAGTTTAACCAAATGCCTGAAAAAAAATATTCTTCAGAAAAATAAACAGAATCCAGAATCTTTACATCTCATTCACAATTCCCCCTGGGGAATTTTAGATACATGTTAAAATTGTTCAACATACAAAGAAACGAACATGGTCCATACTCAAGAACAAAGGCAATCAATGGAGATCAATTCCAAGATAATGCAGAAGTCATATTTACAATAAGGACTCACAACAAGGAAGACAAGGACTTTGCAGCAGCTCTCACATCTAGGGTAAAGGCTATGAAAGAAAATATGCTTATAATAATGAGCAAATAGGAAATGTCAAAAAACAAAAATAGTTTTGTTAATTGAAATACTAAAACTAAGAGCTGCAATCACTCAAAAAAATGATCTAGGACTGGCTTAAGAGAAATTCAGGATTACGAAAGACTAAGTGAACTTAAAAGTAGATTAATGTAAATTATCCAATATGAAAATGATGAACAGAACCTCAATAATCTGTGAAAAAAAATCAAGGTACTAACAACATAGGCATAAACCACAGAATAACTACTAAAATACAATAATAACAAAACTATAAAGGTAGTTGAATTAAATAAGAAACAAAAGGGTAAAAGTTGCATGTTCATTTCAATACATGCAGAAAAGCATTGCACAAAAACATTCTATAATAAAAGGAGAAAGGAAGGACGAGGCGTTCGGAAGGGTGCAGGTAAGCTCAGGTGTAGATGAGCCCCAGGACAAGAGGCTTTACACAGAAGTGGGTAGGGGCTAAGAAGGTTCAGGAACATGGTGGACACAGGATGATGGGGCCTGGACAGTTCCAAGGATTGAAGTATGGATAAGCAATCTGAGAAAAGCAACAGTTAGAAAATTTGTAGATGAGTGACCCATGGTTTGTGACATTGAAAAATGAGACAATGCCTGCATCATAGTCTAGGAAAACCCCAACACGATGGGGAGGAACAGCCATGGAAATAGTCAAGACCATGGGATGAGATGTAGAAGACTCCTCAAAGGCCTTATACTCAAATTTATTCTGTAACCCAATAACCCAGTAGCCACATTGAGGTCTGTATCTGGAGTAAACATTCTGATGAACTGTGCCTTGTCTAACACCAAACTTTATATTACAGAAACGTTTTCTACAGTATACCCCCAGAATCCAGGCAGTCTTCTTGGACACATCTATTTCCCAGTAGTGTTTCCCTGAAGAGAAATATTGGGAGCCCAAGATACCATAATTAGTATACTTAACAGGCCAAATTGGCACAGACATCACTTGTCTCTGATCTTCTGAAAGGACAAGGTTTAAATTTAAGTTGATTGGATTCAGTGTGATGTCCACTGCAGAAAAAAAATAAAAATTGTAAGATCAGGTGAAAAATATAGGATAGGTTTATCTGGTGACATTGTGAAGAGGGAAAGTGGGAAGTGACTAGGTAGAGCTTGTATTGATGGATTGGGGAGGGGGTAAAACACTGGAGAAATGTATTTCATATATATATATATTCTAAAATATATATAGAAATATATAATATTATATATATAAACACATGGAGCTAAGGTCATGAAATCACATTGAAATCACAAGTTTCTGAAAGGGGAGTAGAACACAGGGATTTAAAGAACCAGTAACTTTTTCTTACCCCAGTAGCACTGGACATGTGTTAGCTCTGAAACGATAAGAGATTCAGTGATGTTAACTGGAAGCAAATGATTAAGCACCAATACCTATCTCTTCTCTGGAGTAGGGCCAGCAGAGGGGAGCCCTGTGAGGCTATGAACTGGTGAAAGAGATGATGAACTAGGCACCTTGCCATTCCCCCTTAGATATAACCACATCTCTCTCAGCAATATCCCTCCTTCTCTGAATACCCTCCTCCTTTCTATCCTCTCTTTGAAACTATACCAGCTCCCCAATTTAGTTGCTGACTCCACAGGAGTCCCACATCCACCCTCCCATCCTGGTTCTCCTCACCTCTACACATGCGCAGCATTGTGCTCAGATCTGGAGCGTGGAATACACTCTTCAGTCTTTTGGAAACAGTTTTTGGCTTCTTCAGTGTCCAGATCTCACTCCTAGGCATGACAAAAACGTTAACCCTACATCTCTTACCTTGTACCCTTCCAATACAACTGCCTTTCTCTCTCCTTCCATGCCACTGATGCACCTGAACCCTCCTCCCTGAGAAGCCTGAGTTGGGAAGAAGGGAGAGTCCTGATGCTGAAGCCAGAAGAAATGTGCTCATGTCTACCTTCTCATTTACTATTTGTAACCTTGGGAATGTCTTCACCTTAAATAAACAGTTTATTCTTTGAAAAATGGAATAATTAACATTTTTCTTGATACCTCATGGACATAATAGAAAATTCAATGAAATAACATGTAGAAAAAGCCTTTGCTACCTCTAAAAAAGGTATGCAATATGTGGTAAAGTCATCACAGTGGTCTTTCATGGAGGCCATAGATATGTCTTCCCAGGCAGATAGATCAGTAAGTAGTGAGGCTACAGATCCTAGCTATAATGTGAGAACCATAAGTCTCTTTTTGAGAGCCTGTGAGTTTGTGCCTTAGTCCAAAGCCTGAAACCCAGTGATGTGACCCACAAATAACATTTGAGATTTCAGGTGCTCTGGAAAAAAGTTAAAAACACTTGGCAAAGGAGAAGTTATGACCACTGAACTACAAATGGTTAGAATTTCATGTGTTTGTAAGGAATTTAATTCTGTCAGGTGGATTAGCAACTTAAGCCACAAGAACTACACTTTCTCATGTAAGTTTCTAACACGTGTGACTAGGAAGAGATTAGTTATGGCACCAAGGTCAATGTCACTAACCCTGAGGTTCAGGTTTGTTTTTGGAAAACTAAACAGAACCTTGTAGAATGACCTGGTCTTTTATATTTCCGTGTAAGCAAAGTAAATATAAAGGAGCTGCCCCTATAACCTATTTTAGGGCTTGATGAAGTCTTCCATGTGATAGGATAGGCACCTATGGAATACAGAATTGAGAGCAAGGACAAAGTGAAGTCACAAGAGTCGAATAGTGAAATCCGTGATCCTTATTACCTTTACCATCCCTAATTTTGTGAACTCCAACCACTGAATTCACTGCCATAGAATCTGGTCTATTCTCCTTAGATAGGGAACACTTAAATCCTTTGTCAATGATCAGAAATTTAAAATAATACTACATCCAAATTTCCCTGATTTGGAATATTTTTTATTCTAATTGACCATCAGAACACTCTTATGGCTACAAACCTTTCTTCATAACATAAAAGCACCATTCCTGGTCACCTATCATACATACCATTTCATGATTCCACTCATGTCCTAGGAAGAAGAGAGAAAACATGAGTCAAGGAGTATAGAAAGATTAGAGCAGGATTAATGAAAGAAAGAATAGAAAAACACTAGAGAACATCAGAGAAATCAAAAGTGAACTAATTGAAAATATCAACAAAATTGACAAGTTTTTATGCAGACATACCATGAAAAAAACAGAGAAGACAAGTTATTAAAATCAGGAATGAGGGCACCTGGGTGCCTCAGTTGGTTAAGTGTCTGCCTTCGGCTCAGGTCATGATCCCAGGGTCCTAGGATTGAGTCCCGCCTCAGGCTCCTTGCTCAACAGGGAGTCTGAGTCTGCTTCTCCCTTTGTCCTTCCTCCTGCTTGCATGCTCTCTCTCTTTCTCTCCTTCTCTCGCTCTCCCTCTCTTTCAAAAATAAAGTTTAAAAAAATCTTAAAATCAGGAATTAAAGGGAAGACATTACTGCCGACTTTTACAAAAATTAATAGGAATATAAAGACTGTGAGCAATTGTAGGCCAACAAATTAGATAATCCACATGAAATGGACAAATTCCTAGAAACACAGAAACTACCAATACTGATTCAAGAAGTAATAGAAAATCTGAATAGTCCTAAAACATGTAGTGATTAGATTGGAAATCAAGAACTTCCTGCAAAGAAGTCAGGTCCAGATGGCTTCACTGGTGAATTCTGCTAAAGGTTTAAAGAGGAAATAATAGAAACACTTTACAAATTCTTCCAAAAAATAGAAAGAGAGGTTACAATACCTGACTCATTCTATGAGGCCAGTACTACTCTGATGCTAAAACTAGACAAAGGCATCACAAGAAAAGTGAACTACAGGCCAGTATTTCTTATGAATATAGATGTAAACTTCAACAAAATATTAAAAAACTGAATTCAGCAAAATATGAAAGAGTATATATACACCATGGTCAAATGGGATTTATCACAGAAATGTAAGGTTGGTTTAACATAAGAAAAGCAATTAATGTAATTCATTGTTATTAATAGAATAAAGGTAAAAACCACGTGATGATATTAATAGACACAGGGGAAAAATTTGACAAAATTCAACATCCCTTCATGATAAAAACAATTCAAAAAAGGAATAATAACAACCCACCAGGGATAGAGGGGAACTTCCTTAGCCTGATAAAGGGCATCTATGAAAAACTCATAGCTAACATCATCCTTATGATGAAAAACCTAATGATTTTTCCCTGAGCTTAGGTACAAGACAAGAATGTCTACTCCTACTACTTCTATTTAAAGTGGTACTAGAGGGCGCCTGGGTGGCTCAGTTGGTTAAGCGACTGCCTTCGGCTCAGGTCATGATCCCAGGGTCCTGGGATCTAGTCCCACATCAGGCTCCCCCTGCTCTGAGGGGAGCTTGCTTCTCCCTCTGCCTCTGCCTGCCACTCCCCCTGCCTGTGCTCTCTCTCTCTCTGTCAAATAAATAAATAAAAGCTTTAAAAAAAATAAATAAGTGGTACTAGAGGTTCCAGTCAAGGCAATTAGGCAAGAAAAAGAAATAAAAAGCATTTATATTGGAAAGAAGTAAAACTATCTCTATTTGCAGAATACATAGTTTATATATAGCAAAGTTCTGCTCCATACACTGCCTTTACGTAACCTCTTCCACTTCTTAAATTTCAGCTCACATGCAGGTGCTGTTGCTCCCAAACTTTATATAATCTAATCACGATCTATGGTCTCTAATCATGTATACAGGCTAATATAATAAACAAAGAAGAAGAAACACTAACCAAAAGCCCAGAATATCTAAAATATAACCTACTATTCACCCACTATATTGTGTCCTCTCTTATGTCCACTTGTCAAATACGTTACCAATATTCACTTAGTCCCTGTCCCAAACACTAAAACACCCTACTAAGGCAGTCCATTCCACATCCTTAACTTTTGGCTAATCTGCATTTCCACATCATCACGACTATGGATTTATTTGTTTTCAACGATATATACCAATATATTTGGCCTTACTCTTAAATGCCACCAGCTGGGTTAACCAAAACAAAGGAATGGTTTTGCTTCCCTGTATTAGTGTAGTTTGGTTGTATATGACAAAGAAGCCAACTAACATTGCCTTAAACTACCCCCCACTTGCCACCCCTCCCCCCCAAAAAAAACCATGTGGCCAGAGAAATACTATTTCAGTCACAGGTGGATATGGAAGCTCAAATGCTATCATATATGTGGCTTTTCTGTGTCTCATAATTCTCTTTTCTTCCCTGTCTGTTGACTTTATTCTCAGACTTTAATTGATAGCAACTTGAAATCTCCTGGTTTAAATTATTTTCACTGATATAATTCACATGTAAAAGGACAATTTTCTTCAATGAAGTGACAATACAATTCTGGTGCCTAGAGCCACTGACCAAAATTGGGTCATATGCCCAACTTCTAATGCCCAACTTTGTAGTCTGTGGAAATACAGGAATTAGATAAACTACTTTACCTAAGATTAACCTATGCATCCTCCATGATGCTGATTATCTTAGCCCCAAACAAGTACATGGATAAAAATAGACATGCTGTGTTTCTTCAGAAAGAAATCCCAGGAAAAGGGGCAATGGATACTGAACAGATAAAAACAATAGGTGCCATGTTCACTCCATCATTTAACTCCCTATTGTCATTCATTCATGTGTCATGCTACAAAATTTGAAAAACAAAAATGGCCCAATGTAATAATACTATTACAAAAACATTAAGAACAGAAGTGCCTCCTTTCTAAGTCTCATCTAAATTTTCATCCATTCTCAAGTTTGGCAATTCTCTGTTAGCTCATTCTTCCCAGTTAGTTTTGAGTGTAGCCCTCAAGCAAACAACAGCCCCTCTAGCAAACAATAGGCATATAATGAAATGACCCATCCAAATCACTACAATGAAGATCCAGACAGAAGAAAAGCTGTTTAAGAACTTTCAGGAAACAAGATTATGAAGGGACAGCACCACAATCAATAGCATATATCTCAACATGTTGGAAAGGAACATCCAAACTCCCTAATCTAGTAAAAGAGTAAGTTCCTTGGTTAGCCCATTTGTCATTCTTTGAAGCTGTTATCTAAATGTGGGAAGTTAATCCCACAAAATGTATAACATTTATCTACTGAGCACTGTTTTTATTACAAGTAACCAGGTACCAACTTAAGCTGGCTTAAGAAGAACAGATGCCTGGAAAAGTGACATAAACACAAGAGTCTTTGTGAAGTTGGCAATAGAAAGAGTTGTGAAGAGCTTGTGGATGAACTATAAACAAGGGAAAAGGAATAAGCCTGCAAAGTTTTTGTTTTTACTCAGATATAACAAAATACCAAAAAAAATCACCTTTTATAGTGTACAATTTAGTAGATTTTAGTATATTTACTATGTATATTTACCATCACCACTATTTAATTCCAGAACATTTTCTATTGCAAAAACAAACCTTACTCTCAGTAGCAATCATTTCCTATTGCCTCCTCTCCAGTCTCTGGCAACTACTAATCTCATGTCTGTGTCTATGGATTTATCAATTACAGACTTCATATAAATAGAATAATACAATAAGGGCCTTTTTGTGTCTGTCTTCTTTCACTTATATTTTCAAGGTTCATCCATGTGGTAGCATCTATTAGTGCTAATTTCCTTTTACAGCCAAATAATATTACATTGTTTGGGTATAACACATTGTGTTTATTCCTTCTTCAGTTAATGGAGAATTGGGTTGTTTCCACTTTTGAGCTATTATGAATAATGCTGCCATGAACTTTTGTATACAAGTTTATGTGTGGACATGTTTTCATTTCCAGGAATGGAATTTCTGGGCCATATGGTAACTCTATCAACTTTTTGAGGAACTGCCAAGCAGTTTTCCAAAATAGCTTCACCATTTTACAACTTCACTAGCAATATATGAAAGTTCCAATTTCTGCACATCTTTGTCAACTCTTGGTATTGTCCATTTTTTTTTTTTGGTTTTGGTTTTACCTTTCCCCAATGGCTAAAGATATCAGTCATCTTTTCATGTGCTTATTTACTATTTATATATCTTCTCTGGAGAAATATCTATTTAAGTCCCTTTTTAAAAAAGATTTATTTATTTATTTGAGATAGAGAGAGCAAGTGAGTGGGGAGAGAATCCCAAGCAGAATCCACGCTGAGTGTGGAGCCTGACTCAGGGCTTAATCTTCTGACCCATGAGATCATGACCTGAGCTGAAATCACAAGTGGATGCTTACCTGCCTGAGCCACCCAGGCACCCCTCAAGTCCTTTATCCATTTTTAAATTAGGTTGTCTTTTTATTGTTTTTTTTTAAAGATTTATTTATTTGAGAGAGAGAGTGCACGCACAAGTCAGGAGGAGAGGGTGGGGGAGGAGCAGAGGGAGAGGGACAAGCCAACTCTGCGCTGAGCACAGAGCCAGATGAGGGGCTGGATCCCAGGACCCTGAGATCATTACCTGAGCTGAAATCAAGAGTCAGATGCTTAACTGACTGAGCCACCAGGTGCCCCAGGTTGTCTTTTTATTGTTGAGTTGTAAAAGGTTTTCCCTATATCACGAATACTAAACCTTATCAGATATATGATTTAAAAATATTTTCTCCCATTCTGTGAGATGTTTTTTCACTTTTACATGGTGTCCTTTGAAGCACAACAGTTTTCAATTTTGATGAGCTCCAATTTATTTTATTTTTGGTTGCTTCTGTTTTTGGTGCCGTATCTGTGAAGTTATTGCCTAATCCCAAGTCACAAAGATTTATACCTATGCTTTCTCCTAAGAGTCTTATAATTTTTACCTTTTTACTTACATTTAGATTTTTGATCTACTTTGAGTTAATTTTTGTATATGGTGTGAAGTAGGAGTCTACCTTCATTTTTTGGCATGTGGATATTCTGTTTTTCCCAGCCCAATTTGTTGAAAAGACCTATTGTAGTTTTTATTAAAATTTGTTTGGTGGTATAATCACTTAGAGATCCTGGTTTTTAAAAAATGCAAAATCTGTTACTATAATGGGTCTGAGGACCTAAGGTTTTTATAGCACTCCAGGTGATTCCAATACAAAAAAAGAAGATTTTGTGACCTCTGCCCCAGAGTAATCTGAAATCAAAAAAGAAGAAAAAAGTCAAGGGAACTGAAAAAAAAGAAAACAGGAAAAAACTAAGATACAAGCATCAGAGACAAAGGAAACAAGCCAACATGTGAAAATCAATTATCCTTCTGCTTGATATCAAGAATTAAAAAAAAAAAAGTGGGGCGCCTGGGTGGCTCAGTTGGTTAAGCGACTGCCTTCGGCTCAGGTCATGATCCTGGAGTCCCGGGATCGAGTCCCGCATCGGGCTCCCTGCTCGGCAGGGAGTCTGCTTCTCCCTCTCAACCTCCCCCCTCTCATGTGCTCTCTCTCTCATTCTCTCTCTCTCAAATAAATAAATAAAAAATCTTAAAAAAAAAAAAAAGTGTTTGGAAATCCAGAAAAGAAAAGGAAGAAGATAGGGAATCAGGTAAAAACTATGAAAAGTCTGGAATTCCCTGAATGACCATCATACATCATGGCTCAGAATCACAGTCACAGTATTAATGCTTCAAAAAAAAAAAAACTGTTTAAATTTTAACATTAGTTCGAATTGTTGCCTCAAGTGTCTATAAATTTGCACCAGCATGTTTTCCTGACACCAGCAACCTTTCTGGCACACACACACTCACATACACACTTGCACACAGACTCTTACCACTCAAGTATAATACCTCCTATCCATATATTTGCCCATCCTCCTAACAAAAGGCTCAATGTTCTATCTCTTCATGTTTAAAAAAAAAATCTAACAAGAGAAGTTTGTAATAATAAATACAGATTTTTTTTAATTAAAAAAAAGGGATAAATTTCTTATACCTGAAAATGCATGTATTTGCCTATGGCTAAGATGAATGAAAAGAACTTGAAAATTATCCAACACTGGATCACAGATAATAGGGGTCTAGAGAATATCACTGGATACCATGGATCTTCTCTCCAAGGTCAAATGTATTCCCTTACTTCATAAAATAATAAAGTAGGACACTCCCCTGGAATGCTTATGTTCGATGGTCCATAATATCTTGAATGGATGACAAAGAATGGCTCCGCAAAGCCAAAGGAACCTCTTAGTGTTAACACCAAGATTAGAGCCCAAGGACACAGAAAAGAAGGTAGCTTAGACTGTATTTCAAGAATTCCAGATTGGAGCATTCCTCTTACCTGCAGCAGGTCCACTGTTGACCATGTACGGCGATGCTCCAGATCTGAGATGAGTTCTTTCACCAACTGGTTCTGCTGAGCCAGCTCAGCCTCAGCCTCAGCCAAGCTATCCAGTATCCTCTTCTCCTCTTCTTCCAATTTTTGCAGTTCTCTCTGCTCTTCACTGTCCAGGATGCTTCTAAGCTGATTGAATTCCGTCCATATCCTTTGTCTCTCAGTCTGTATCTGGTACTTCAAGGTTGGACAAACAAAAGAGGTAAAGAGTCTATCTGCCTGAAAACCTACTGTATAAGGGATTAGGAGCCAAGAAAAGAAATTTTTTTTTTTTAAAGATTTTATTTATTTATTTGACAGAGAGAGACACAGCGAGAGAGGGAACACAAGCAGGGGGAGTGGGAGAGGGAGAAGCAGGCTTCCCGCTGAGCAGGGAGCCCGATGTGGGGCTCGATCCCAGGACCCTGAGATCATGACCTGAGCCGAAATCAGGAGCCAGATACTCAACCAACTGAGCCACCTAGGTGCCCCTGGCACCATTTTAAATGACTTCTCCTTTCCCATCCCTACTTTCTCTATTCTTTTTTTTTTTTTAAAGATTTTATTTATTTATTTGACAGAGAGAGACACAGCGAGAGAGGGAACACCAGCAGGCGGAGTGGGAGAGGGAGAAGCAGGCTTCCTGCCGAGCAGGAAGCCCGATGCAGGGCTCGATCCCAGGACCCTGGGACCATGACCTGAGCCGAAGGCAGACACTTAACGACTGAGCCACCCAGGCGCCCCAAAAAGAAATATTTTTTCACTGAGTTCTAACCAAGAGGGAAATGGAGCACGGGGGCAATTTTTGGGAAAGCTGGGTATTTTTCCTACTATTTTCCCTTTAGTAAACAGGCCTCAGACTGTCTTATCTAGGCCAACCCTGGGATGAAATGTAAAACCTAAGTGAGGTTTAGGTTGTAGATGGCTGTATTGGACACTCACACCTCCCTGCATTACCACACTTCCAAGTTTGAACCTTGGGGAAAATCTTGGTCCTTTGCCCAGTGTCTTTCACTGGAGGTGTCAGAGTCTCATTGGAAAAGAGGAATGGAAGACAGAATTTTCCATCCTTCCTCACTGAAGAGTCTGTCTTTATTCTCAATTCCAAATACCTGTGTGTCCACTCTCCAGCCTTCAATGTAACAGAGACAGGACAAAGAGGAGAACTAATCAAATGGCTTCTGGACGCATTCTGTGTCAGGGAACAAAGAGGAAGGGGCTTCCTTGTGATTTGGACTGAAGGTCCTGCCAAGATTCCTGTGTCAAAAATCCCTTAGAAAGTCTCTTCCTACCTTCCAGGAAGTCCTCTCTTCTCTGATGTCAGCTTCCAACTTCTCAGCTTTCTGCTGCTCCTTCCTTAGCCTCTCCAGAGCTGCCTGAAGCTTCTCCTGTGAAAGAGAAGTCACATCAGATGACTCACATCAGATGACTCACATCAGGACTCATCAACAATCTCCGAACTTTTGCAGCAAAGAATAAATGGGGAAGAAATCAGGCTGATCCCTGAAGAGACCAGTTTACAGAAATTGTGATTAGAATCTATGATACAGGAGAAAACCTAAGGAGAATACATCCTTTGTTCCTGGGTGTCACCATCCCTCACCAAGAGTAGCCTAATTCTCTCTTTTCATAGAGGATTGATTCTGCAGTCCCAAGAAAAATCCTATACTCTTACTGACACTCTTTCCACATCCAATCCACAATGTTGAAGAGCAACCATCCTGCTGAGGGGAACAATGAGAGCCAAGCTCTCCACTCATATAACAAAAGGGAAAAAAAAAAAAAGGAAAACCTCTCACTCTTGGCCAAGAGTCTAGGCTCTAGACTCTAGGCTCATTCCCCCCCATTTTTAGGATTTCTTTATTTGAGAGAGAGTGGGGGGAAGGGGCAGAGGAAGAGAGAAAGGGGAAGCAGACTCCCCATTGAGCCTGGAGCCCCATGTGGGGCTGGATCTCATGACCCTGAGATCACAAGCCAAGCTGAAACCAAGAGTCGGAGGCTTAACTGACTGAGCCATACAGGCACCCCAAGGCTCATTCTTTATGTAAGTGGAAAGAATACACAGAAATGTCCGTCAGGCATTGGAAGCTGAGCATAGTGTAAGAGACATACATGAAAAGAGATTACAGGGCTCAGTACCATGGTGCCAAGCCGTGTACAGAAGGATGGAAAGGTGAGATTTCCCACCAAGTACCATCTTCCTCCTTTTCTCCCTCCATCCTGGGCCCTACCTGACATTCCTTGACTACTTCCTCCACGAGGTATGTGTGGTGACCACGGTGCTCCTGAGACCGCTCACAAAGCCAACAAATGACCTTCCTATCCTCCTTACAGAAGAGCAGGAGTTTCTCTTCATGGTGCACACAGAGGTTTCTCTTCAGCTCCTTCTCTGGGTTCAACTTGAACTCTCTGATTCTCTCCATTATGTTGACCAGATGCTGATCAGGACCTAGGTTTCCAAGTGAGTATCTGATACCACACACAGGACAGCTGCTTTCCTCTCCTGGGCTGATCTCTGACTCCTTGGTGTCCACAGTGATGCAGGCTTGACAGAAGCTGTGGCCACAGTCTAGAGTCAGGGATTCTGTCAAAAGCTTCAGGCAGATGGAACAGGACACCTCATCTTGTATGTTCAGGATTTTTAAAGCCTTAGTACATCTCCCCTGGCTTCTTCCTGTCCTAACTCCTGGAGCTCTTCTTGCTTAAATGTTCCTGGATGGCTGGGCAGATTGAAAGGGGATGAGGTAAGAATGGCAGGAGTAAAAAGGATTTTAATTGTACAGATATTAAGGATTGGTCAAAACTGAAATGTTGAAGGACAAAAAAGAAGAGAGAGAAAAAAAAAACAGAAATAAAATTCAGTGGCCTGGGTAAACTGCTAATGCCTCAGGCTTCCGCATTTGCTCTTCTTTAAGCCTGGAATGATCCACCCCTGGATATTTGCATGACTTCCTCTTATACTGCATCCAACTCTCTCCTTAAATATCATTTCATCAGAAGGACCCAATGATTACTTTATCTATAACACAATTACCAATATATCATTCACTACACATTAGTCATCCTTTTCTTATTATCACTATATAATATACTATATCTTTTCCTTAAATATCCTACTCCTAAAATACAATCCACACATAGATTAGGCACTTTGTTTTTATTCATTCCTGTATCCCTAGTGCTAGAATGCACAGGAACACAACCTTTGATGAATATATAAAGAACCTCCTCATTTCTCCATAGGTGATTAGACCTCTTTTTTATCAGCATTTCATCTTTTTGTTCCATTAATTATCTGTTCTCCAATAGGTAAACGTTGGGACCACAGATACAGTTTCAACATAAGAAATGCTTACCTCCACATATACCTGTCCCATACAGAACCCTTCCATTCTCTCATATTCACTCCCAGAGACACTCACAGAAACAAATGCCACAGTAGGGAAGGAATTTTACCACTAAGAATTGTAGAACTAGTTACAATTTATAAATCACTTTGACCTATTTATTCTTTATACAAAAGTTCTTGGGAAATAGAGTACTTTATTGAAGTGTGTAAATTGAATGAAGTAACTTATAAAGATTATTTCATTCAGTAAGTTGAATTAGGGTGAATACAGTGTCCACAGGATCCTTTTTCAGAGGTCTGGTAGGTGTGATAAACACTACCACCCAGGGGTCCCTGTTTTGGAGGAACTAATAATTTGCCAAATAGGAGAATATCAAAGATATCCCCCTTGAATAAGTAAGGATTGAACTAAAAGTTGTAAGAAGGGATATGGAATGAGAAAGAGTAAAAATATATTTTAGAGAGAAGAGGTCACATATATGAATGCCCTGTTGATGGAAGACACAACATCTTCTACAGATCTTAAAATACCCGTATGGCTGGTACACAGAGAGCTGCTAGGCTTTTGGCATTAATAGGCCAGCAGGGACCAAAAATGTGACACTTCCTAAATGATGTAAAAGAGACAGCCTCTCTCCAAAGAGCAGGGATCAGTGTTGGGAGTTTGTAGGACAGGCTGCTGGAGGGAATGAGAAACAGACGAGGCTGAGAGAGAGGGTAAGATAAAAGGGACAGGATTGGGAGTTAGGTTGGATGTACGGGAACAAAGGGTCATCATCAGGCTTAAGTCCTTTCTTCCCATAAAAAGGACATGGATATTACCGTCTCCTAGCACTCTGTTTTATTTTTATTATTTTCGGTAAGCACAGACCTCCGCTTCCACAAGTGGGTTGTGACTCGTGTAATGAAATATTTGCCAGTAGGGTGCTAGAAGCTATGTTCATGGCTCTTACAAGGTAATCAGTCCACCGGCCCAAGACTTACCTAAGCTGTGTTAGTTTCATACATACCACGTGGTCTTGTTCTCTTACAAACGGCCAGATGAAGGAGATAACGTCCCTCCTATACCACTGTATGGACCCTCCCTGGGAGCTCACGTGAGGCAGCCGTGCTGCTGTGTGGCATCTCCTGTCCTGTAGGCCCCAGCTAAGCTACGTGAACCTGACTGGTTTCTGTCCTGCTAAGTCACATGAGTAGGAATGACAAACCAAACCTAAAATTATTCCTGGTGGTCAGTCAGAAGGCATATCACAGGGTGGCAGCACGGAGATGCTGCTGATCCTCAGAACCCGGACTCATTATGGACAAGGAACTGTGAGGCAAAAAAAAAAAAAAAAAAAGGAAGATCTAGTAGATATTAATCATGATACTTGTTTTAAATGATTGAACTCTATCCCCCACATGGACATCGCCTTGTGAATGTGACCTTGTTTGGAAATAAGGTCTTTGCAGATGTAATCAAGTTAAGATGAGATAACACTGGAATAGGTGGGCTCTCAATCCAATGACCAGTGTCCTTTAAGAAGAGGAGAGGGTGCACCACATACAGGGGAGAAGGCCATGTGGCAATGGTAGCAGAGACTGGAGCAGTGCAGCAACCAGGCAAGGCATGCCAAGGACTGCTGGAAACCACCAGAAGCTAGGAGAGAAACATGGAACAGACTCTCCCTCGGTACCTCCGGAAGAAACCAATTCTGCCAACACCTTGACTTTGGACTTCTGGCCTCCTGAACTGTGGGAGAATAAATTCCTGTGGTTTTAAGCCATAATTGATTATAAAACCTTAGGAAAGTAACACAGTTGAAAAGGTCCGATGAAGAAAGAACTGAGGTTCGTAACAAACTATAATCTTCCCTTTGCTCTAAAAAGAGAAAATAGGGGCATGATGAAAGCTGTATGGAGATAAATTTAGGTCTAGAAATATGCTCACTTCTCCAATCATCCATTAAGTGAACCTGGTGAAAGATAAAGCTGAATGTGGGCTGATCAATGTGATCTAGCCAATGGTACGGATACTGAAAATTGTCCTATGGTCAGATCAGGCTTTAATGACTGGCAAGACCAGGGGTTTATAGGACATGATAATATCCACCCCTGCTCACAACTGAAGCTATAAGCCAACCATAGGCATGGGGTTCTCTGTTATCTTTCATTCTATTCAGTATCCAACCAATGCTGAGAAACATCTCAAGTCTATGGGGAAGTGGACCATGCATCCTATTATGGGGTTATAAACCTCATGTTCACAGTGGGGCTACAAGAAGTTGATGTTAAAGCAGTTGCCACCACACTGGCCACAGAAGGGGGAAGGTACAAAGGAGGCAGAGTCCCCACACATGGGCAGTGACCCCACCAATGCCCAAGATTGACCTGAGAGCCCAGCAGTGATCAGGAAGGTAGGAAGGGAATACAAGTAGTATCTGCCTGATGGGAGTCCCAGGTCAACGGGCGGCCACAAATATCCTACACTTGAGTTTTCTCCTAACATCAGGACTCCTGAAAATGCAACTCTATGCCTCTCTGCAGGTCACATAGTAAAATAAAAGTGTCTCCAGGAAGTGGCATGCAGGGAAGGATATTCTTTGAAGTTTTAGACAGCATTCTAGACATTTCTCTTGGTTTCCTGGGCCAGGAACTGCCCCTGGGGAAGTCGGACCTGTTTTTGACATGGAGAGACCTGGGGAAGTCAGAAATATTGCAATGCTCCCTCCCCATAACTCTATATTGAGAGTTCCTGCTTCAGCAACTCCTTAGAATCCAGGGCTAAATCTGTGCCTGCCCCCCCCCCCCCAAAAACACCCCATTCATGACCCTCTCTCCAAGAGCTCTAGCTCTCTGGTAAATATGTTTCTAGAAAGTAATATTTTTAAAAAGTCATTTTAAAGAAAGTCATTTTGTAACATAGGACCACTTTTATTAAATTGCTCCTGGTCTCATTAGTTCATCAGAAGACACTGAGTGTTTTCTTCAAATTAGTCCCAACCATTTCCACTGCCATCCCCCTGGCAGGAGCCACCTGCGTCTCCTGCGTGGATTCTGGGTAATGGTTCTCCCTGAAACTATCACTGCCCTTTCTCAGTGTCCTGCCATCGCCGTTCTCACGTCGCTGACTAGAGTGCTCCTCAGAGCAGACACCAGTCCCGTCACCCTTGTGCTCAAATACACGTCGTCCAGCGTGAGCTGGTCGTCATCACCACCAGTCAGGCTACATGACACATTCCTCCTCCCTGCCTACTCCGCCCCAGCCCACACTGGCCTCTTTCCAATCCGGGAGGAAACCCATGCTAAAGCCTTTGAATCCCTCACATTCTTAAGATTCTACTCAAATATCTCCTCACAAGGAGGCCAGTTGCAAGGCCTTTACCAGGTCACTACATTTGACACTTAAAAACTGTTACCTCATGCTATTAGTCACCTTCTTGTATACATATCAATTATTTGTTTGTTTACAATCTCTCCCCAACTCAACTGTAAGCTCTTCTATGTATTTAACATTTACTCCATGTTTAATGCATATTCATTGCACTTTTTTTTTACACCAGCAGCTTTAGTTCCAATGAATCAACTGTTTAAATAAATAAATAAATCTATTTCATCCTATGGGTTTGGGCCTTGTTTTGGATCCTGGGGGAAAATCAGTATCGGGGCAGAAATGGACCCCCCCCCCCAGGAAGACAGGAACAGCGACTTCTGAGAAGTAGGCGTACAGGATATCCTGTACATGTGTCAGAAGGTATGTAACAAACCCATCAATGTGAAAACTGCTCAAAAGTGAGCTTCAGATGGGACATCATCACTGTCAGTCATGGAGCAAATGTCTTAGCAAGACCACTGGATCTCTGGGCTCCTTCATTTTTTTTTTTTTAAGATTTTTATTTATTTATTTAACAGATAGAGAGACAGCGAGAGAGGGAACACAAGCAGGGGGAGTGAGAAGCAGGCTTCTTGCTGAGCAGGGAGCCCAATGCGGGACTCGATCCCAGGACCCTGGGATCGTGACCTGAGCCAAAGGCAGACGCTTAACTGAATGAGCCACCCCGGTGCCCCTGTATATGAGCTTTTATTTATTTATTTATTTATTTTTAAGATTTTATTTATTTATTTGACAGAGAGAGACACAGCGAGAGAGGGAACACAAGCAGGGGGAGTGGCAGAGGGAGAAGCAGGCTCCCCGCTGAGCTGGGAGTCCGATGAGGAACTGGATCCCAGGACCCTGGGATCATGACCTGAGCCTAAGGCAGACGCTTAGTGACTGAGCCACCCAGGCGCCCCCTCTGGACTCCCTCTGAGCAATAATCAGCTCTGGTTAATTAGCTCTGAACAAAGAAAAATAGTAAGGAATTGAGATAACCATGCAAAGGTGTGTCTACAGAGGAGGAATGATGGAGAAAGAGCCCTAAGGCAGGTGGGGATGCTGATGTCAGCGGGCTCCTGGAAGCAAGAGGACAGGGGCCTATGCAGGGAAGTGCAAAGAGACCCCTGAGACTGGCACTCGGAAGGACACAGGGTGAAAGGGGGCCATGGAGGCAGGTGGCAGGCACATCACCTTGCAGGCCAGCGGGAGAGGAAGGCCAGAGACGGCCCCTCGGTTGGTTCCCCGGGGGAGGAATGAGAGAATCAGCTTCAATATGAGCCCGGCCATGACCCCCAAACTCCATTCTGTCTTGTGCTCCACCCTAGGAGCCTGGGCTTTCAACCTCTGGAACATAGGGACCTCTTCTGCCAGCTTTTCTTCAAGCAGGTAGAGGTGGGCAGAAGAGAAGATACTTCCTGTTCAACTTTGAGAAAGAGAGAGTGAGAGAGGGAAAGGATTCCAGTTCTCCTCAGCGATCTCGCTGAGGCAATTCAAACTCTAGAACAGTAAGGGGATGAGGATGGACGCAGCCTGGAGAAAGAAGGGCCCCTCCAGGAAAGGAACAATGCTCCCCACCTCTTGGGCGCTCCTTTCTCTCCAGGCCACCCGTCTCCAGAATCAAGGCTGCCGTCTGTCTGCACTCAGAGCAGGAAGTCTGCAAACTGACTTTTCTTCTCTTCAGAGCACGTCTGGGCCACACACTAAACTCACATACCTTCCTGTCATACCTTCCTTCTGGCGTCTTCCACCCTCTGCCCCCCACTAACTTCCCCACGCACCTTGAGGCCCCAGCAGAGAAGTCTTGGCTCCTGATTTAAGTGGTGAAGAAAAGCCAGGGCAGGCTAGGTCAGCATTTCCTCACCAAACAGGCGCTGGGTCGGCCAGAAGCCACTCCTCCTGAGCAGATGGCTGGGAAGTGAAAGTGAAATCTTCAGGGCTGGCAGGAAGATGAAAGGGGAAGGAGCTTCTGGGCCCAATGGGCAGCGGTCCTATAGGGCCACTGGAAGAGAAATGCTTCAACTCAGTGCTTCGAAAGGGGGCGGGGGGGAGGGAGGGTTTGCCCCAAGGGACTTTTGGCAAAGTCTGAGGACAGATTTGGTTGTCCAACCTGGGGGATGCCACTGCCATCTAGTGGGTAGAGGCCAGGGGTATGGCTAACCACTCTGCCGTGCACAGGACAGCTCCCACAGCAAAGAAGGATCCAGTCCAAAATGTCCAGAGTGCTGAGGTTGAGAGGCTGTTTTAACCCTCTCTGCTTCCTGGGCCAACTAGGCACCGAGAGTCTCCTCCCATCTTATGGTTGTGCACAGGCCGTCAGTTCAGCCTACCAATTTGAATTATCCCCTCAGATCCCACCTTCCATTTGCCCCCAAAGAACACACAACCACCTCCTAGGAAATAGCCAGGAGTTGGGCAGACGAGGGATGGAGGGTGCTGGAAGAGTTGGCTACAAAAGACCAGGACAACTTTTTGGAATATGATTTTCTAAATCCTATTTGTGCAGTAGTCACAGAGATGTAAAACTTCAGCTTTTTAAGTCAGGTGTACAATATAGTGATTGAATACTTCCATACATCACCCGGTGCTCATCACAAGTGCCCTCCTTAATCCCCATCACCTATTTCACCCATTCCCCCCGCCACCTCCCCTCTGTTTGCCCCCCCGTTTTTTTCTTTGCTCATTTGTTTTGCTTCTTAAATTCCACGTGAGTGAAATCATACAGTATTTGTCTTTCTCTGACTGACTTATTTTGCTTACCATAATACTCTCCAGCTCCATCTGCATCATTGCAAATGGCAAGATTTTATTATTTTTATGGCTGAATAATATTCCGTTGTAGATATATACTACCTCTTCTTTATCCATTCATCAATTGATGGACACTTCATAATTTGGCTATTGTAAATAATGTCGCTGTAAACATAGGAGCATATGTATCCCTTTGAATTAGCATTTTTGTATTCTTTGGGTAAATATCCAATAATGAGATTCCTTGATCATAGGGTAGTTCTATTTTTAACTTTTTGAGGAAACTCCATATTGTTTTCCAGAGTGACTGCCCCAATTTGCATTCCCACCAACAATGCACAAGTGTTCCTTTTTCTCCACATCCTCACCAACATCTGTTGTTTCTTGTTGATTTTAGCCATTCTGACAGGTGTGAGGTGATATCTCATTGTAGTTGTGATTTGCATTTCCTTGACAGTAGGTGATGATGAACATCTTTTCATGCGTCTTTTGGCCATTTGTAGGTCTTCTTTGGAGAAATGTCCACTCATGTCTCCTGCCCATTTTTTAGTTGGATATCTGTTTTTTGGGTGTTGAGTTTTATAAGTTCTTTACAGATTTTGGGTAGTGACCTTTCATCAGATATGTCATTTGCAAATATCTTCTCCCATTCCCTATGCCTTTTAGTTTTGTTGATTGTTTCCTTCTCTGTGCAGAAGCTTTTTATTTTGATGTAGTCTCTCCAAGTGATTCTTATGTGAGTCTGAGGTTGAGAACCAATGGCCTCAAGTGGTGAATTGGGCCTTTGGGGCCTTGGGACAGAAAGGACTGCTTTGAAATTGAGATAACCTTGACACCACATCTGATAGGAAGTCATCTTGAACAGGAGTGTTCCTATCAGAAGTCACCACCCTTTCTGGGCACAGGATGATCTCAGCACATTGTGCCTCCATGAAGAGCACATGAGGAAAATAAATTGATGGATTAATTTTCTGTTTGTATTCATCAAGGAAATCCTAGTCTCCTGGGCTCCTTAAGAGCACATTACATAAAAAGTGCCACTTCTGGAATTGCTTTCCAAGGTACCATTGTTCTTTCTGCCCTCCCTCATCATCTGACTCGTGTTTGGGGCCCAAGGATAAGCCCCAAGCAGAAAGACAATTAAAAAATAGTTTGAGGGACGCCTCGGTGGCTCAGTCGGTTAAGAGGCTGCCTTCAGCTCAGGGCGTGATCCCAGGGCCGTGGGATCAAATCCCGCATCAGGCTCCCTGCTAAGCAGGGAGCCTGCTTCTCCCTCTGCCTGCCACTCCCCCTGCTTGTGCTCGCTCTCTCTGACAAATAAATAAAATTTTAAAAATCTTTAAAAAAATTGTTTGAAATTTTAACAACTTTCCCATAAAAATATCTGTATCTATTACATTTAGATTTTTGCTATGACCACTTTTAAGGAGTCAATAATTACCCATTTAGGCTTGTTTATCCTTAATTCAATATTGGTAATTTACATCATTCAGATAACAAATCATTAGACAGATTTGTTAGTTTAGGTGTGTAAATCATTAGTTTAGGTGTGTGAATTACCTCAGCATTGTCCATCACTTCTGTGTGAATAACATCCAATTTTCATCACTAATTTTATACACTTGGGTTTTTTTTCCTCTATTTTTCTTAAAACCTGATTTCTCTATGAATTCAACGGGCTTGCAAGCATGCTATGACTTTGCCATATTTTTACTATTTCCCTAACCATCTACCAACATGTAATATATTAAAGATAGAACAAAATGGCATTTTTGGAAACTCCTTTTAGGGTATCAAGAATTTCTCTGGCATGTCACTGTCAGCTGAGCTATGCTTCCAGAAGACAGGAATGGCCTGGATGGAAGGATAAGCAAGTTCGGTGTATTCAGGAATCTGCACATAGTTCCATGGGACTGTACTTGGAGCTCTAGGTAAACAGAAGAGAGGCCACAAGAGGGGGACAAGTGTCAACATCATCAAGACTCATTTACACAGGCAGGGAGAGAGCTAGGGAGTTATCTGGAGGAGGATGTCAACCACTGCAAACATACCAGGGCAGGAGTAAAGTGTCAGTTTTCCCAGATCCCCTGACTTAACCCCCATTATCCCCATGGGACCCACACTCTCCCCTGGCAGGGCCTAGCTGGGCTCTCTGCTCTGCGAGCCTTCACTTGTAGAAGTAACTCGGAAGCCTGGGTCTCTGCAAATATCAGTATGCATAAGGCCCCCTGAACATGGAAGATAATTGTGTACATCTTTTAATTTTTATTTCATTGTGAAGCTTTTCTGGTTGTTTTTTGAATATTGGACTTTTTTTATTTTTCACAGAATTCTAGAGTTTATTAGCATTGAATCGTGTAATTATTTTGACTATTTTTAATTATCTGTAATGAACTACTTTCATTCACAATTTTGTTAGTTTGTGCTACCTTTTGCCTTGTTTGTTTGTGTAACTTAGCTTTCTTACAACACAATAAGAATGCACTCATATCCCACATTAAATATAAATATTCTAAAATTGTATGAGTGTGTTAAAGATGACCATTTGGCATAATAGCATTTCGGTAGAAAGATAATTAACACTTACTTATGGACCATGAGGTGCCCTCTGCCCACCACCAAACAACTTGAAGACAATTATGACCTTTGTTCTTAAGTGTCCAATATTCTCAAGAATAACTTAAAGCACTTGGGAAATAGTACTTTGCCTGTAGGGTCTCAGTGGCAAAGCAACCCTGAGGAGAAAAGCAATTCCTCTCCTCCCACCCTTGGGAGACTAGATGAACCACCTGCACTGGGTAGGTACACAGCCTGGGAGAGGCACTGCAGAGTGGGAAAGGTTGAGGGTCCTGAGATTAACAAAAACAAAACAGATCTAGGGTGCAGTCAGGATCAAGAGATTGTCCAGCATCGTCCTCAGACAAGAGGGAAGATCATTAGAATTTCACACAAATGAGCGCAGATCTTATGTCTATTTCCAGCGAGGAGCTCAGTTCCCAGGGTTGAGAAGGTTCTGATCGCCCTCTGGTGATGTCTCTAGTTACTGCAGCTTGCTCACTGTCCATGGACAGTCCTGTGGACTGAAGCTCCTTATGCCCTGAGATTCTCCTGAGCCCCCCAAACTTCCACGGTGGACACGTCATCTCTAATTATGGCCCAGCGCAGTCCTAAAGCCCCAGAAATACCAGATGGCATTACTGCCATATACACTTTCAGAGATGATAGGAAGGAGAAAGTCCTAGAACTGATTCCTGGGTGGTGAGAATCCACACTGGGCACCCACAGGATTTTTTTTATTTTAAATTCAAATCCCTTCTCTGATCCTTCCCTGAAATTGGAAAAATTGAAAGCAGCCCGCAGGTTCGTGGTCTTGTCAGCAGACGGCGCCATTTCTAGGGCCCCGGGGCTCTGTGGAAAAGATCATGGCCTGTGGCTTGTAGATCTTTTTTTCCAGTTTGCTATCTCAAGTCTCTTTTTTTTTTCTTTCTCTGTAACCACTTTCTCATCTTGAACTGGGGACTGGGAATTTCAGAGAATGAAAGACCTGAATATCTCTGGAGAGTTATCTGTCAATAATTCAGGAGCCAGCGCAGCATTGTAGTAATAAACTGGTATGCAGGGGTCTAAAGGAAATAGTTACAAGCTGATTTCTGACAGTTTCCATGCAGGAGTGCTGGAGGTAAGGGCGTGTGTCTACACAGAGAGATTGGATGTGTCTGATTTGATACCCTCTCCCTCACCAAAGGTCGCCCGGAGCTGGGGAACTGGAAAATTCCTGACAAGGAAGGGATCAGAGCAGAAACTACTTGGTCAAGCAGCTCATTACTTCTCTTTGTCTCAGTTCAGACGTTGGTAAGGGATAGTCCGCAATGAAAATGCCTGAAGACCTGGGGATATTACCAAGTATGGTGACACCTTTTGATCTCTCTCGCTGGAGGCACAGAACAGGCCCTACCTCATTCCTGACCTGAATGAGTGACGCTCGTCAGGAGAAAAGCAACACTGACCCACCTTCACCACTGCTGTGGGCACTAGTCCCAGCATTCCGGAGCCTTCCTCTGTCACTCTAAGTCATAATGTGAACAGGTAAACTGAAAAATGGACACTTAGCTGGGCAGAGAGAGAGTCTCTAGTGAAAGAGAATTACTGAGAATTAGAATATCAGACTTGCCGTTTTAGTTCCAACATGTGAAGAACTTGAAAGTCATTACTTCTAACTTTTAAAGAAAAAAGCTGAACAGAATGACTAAAATCAAGAAGGCAAA